GAAACGAAGGCTCGGCGAGCGTATAGAAGCGTGCTCGACCTCGTCGTGGCAACCTGTACGGCAGCGCTGGTAGGCGCGATGAGCGTCGTGCCACCTGACCCGAGACGGGTCGCAGGCGTCGTACCGAGCGCGTCGAGACCGTGTCCTGATGTGATCTGCACGGGTGAGTCACGTCGGCGTCAAAGGAGCGACGTGCGACCTGTCAGAGCTTGATCTCCAATCTCAGCTGCCTCTGTGCGTCCTGGGGAGGGACAAAATTGTCGCCGCCGGAGACGACTCGACGCCGCTGAGATTGGAGATCAAGCTCTGACAGGTCGCACGTCGCTCCTTTGACGCCGACGTGACTCACCCGTGCAGATCACATCAGGACACGGTCTCTACGCGCTCGGTACGACGCCTGCGACCCGTCTCGGGTCAGGTGGCACGACGCTCATCGCGCCTACCAGCGCTGCCGTACAGGTTGCCACGACGAGGTCGAGCACGCTTCTATACGCTCGCCGAGCCTTCCTTTCCATCCAATTAGGCAGCCTGGGAACGGTGGCGGTCAGAGGCAAAGCCTACGAGGGGTGGTGGAACCACATGTCACGGCTACTGCCGGCTCGACCCCACGATAGCACTGGTTGGGTAGTAGTCTAAGTTCTGAGCCTCGCGGCTTAACGGGTCTAACTGTGGCTAGCCACGCTGGAGTGCTTACGCGGTCTAAGATCAGCGGGAGCCTCTTACACCGGCTAAGTCGGCCATGGCACGCGATATACGGCGCTCGCGCCCAAATTTTCTTCGCCTGCGCGGCGGGCGATCGATCCTCCTCATGCTCAGCAATCGCCGCCTCAGCATCCTCCTCTTCCGATTCTCGTTGCTGCTTCTTGAGCGCACTTCGGCGACATCTAGCCAAATAGTTCTCACAAATAGCCTCAAGCTCAAACAAACGCATGTCAGAGAAGCCTGTGTATGCTGGTCCTCTTTGAACGATCCGCGCGTGAGGTAGCATAGGGCCTTGTTGGCAGCCAGCCAGCTTGTTGCGCTGCTTCGTTGCGATGAGCTGATTGGGATCGCAGAAGTGCATGCCAAGCACCGCCACGATCTTGAAGCAGAACACATCGCAACCGCATCGTCCGCACTGCCATCGGCATGCCGCGCCCGCCGCTTCGCCGCAGCCGCCTTAAGGCACGCATAGCGGCAGCACATGGTACGGTGCGCGTACTTGAGCAGGCGTTGCGCGCCGCAAGTAGCGCACTGGCCCTGGGAGACGGCGATATGGCGTCGTGCGCGGCATACGCTGGTCGGGACCGCGTCCAGGTATTTTTCGGGTAAACCTGGACTTTTGCAGGTATACCCGGGTTTTACCCGGAGTTGGCCTTGTGTCGTCTAAGTTCATGGCCCCCGGCCTTCCAGCGTCTAAGTCTGAGCCCGGCTCCGTGCGGGGGCTAAGTTGAGCGCTCGCTCGCTGCAGAGGCTAAGTGTAGAGCGACCCTCTAGCCCTACTACCCAACCATTACGATAGCCTCCGAAGGCTGACTTTGCGGCACCATCATCGGACGATGTCGACGAGTTGGGTCGCTCTCGCGGTAGCCAGATGACCTCTCTTTCTAGGAGCATCGGCCATGGCCGCAGGGAGCGCGGGGGAGGGCGCTGGAAGCAAAACGGAGCTCCGTTGGAGACGTTTTCAAGATTAGCGTGTCAGAGTGAAATGGCACTAGCCTGCACGTTTTTCAGAATTTCACCCCCCTCTTCTCGTTCCTCTCCCCGCGATAGTAAAATATTTGGGCAGCGGGGGCTGTCAGCCCTGCCCCTGCTGTAGGCTAGCGAAGAATGCGTCGACGGCCTGCTCGAAGCTCTTGCAGGTGATCGGCTCGTCGAGTCGGTGGAGCGGATTCTTCGTGAGCGTCTCGACGTAGATGTCGGCATACAGCCGCCGCAGCGTCTCGCGCAAGTCGCCGGCGGCGAGTCCTATTCGCGACAGCCGTCGCTTTCGGCGTCTGTCTATGGCAGGCGGCCCTCGCGGACGCGGGGATGCGCCGGTGCAGAGGACGAAGCGGAGGCCTGCAGAGGGAGCACGGCCCGCGCCTCAGTGATACAAATCTAGACAGGCGGCTGTGGCGGCAGGGCGGAGGACCTGAGGCGGTCTCAAAGTAGTGCAGCTTGTAGGTCGAGGTGGAGCAGGCGTGGAGCCCTCCGCCCGAGCTGAGGAGGGGGAGTGAAGGATGAGGTGGAGTGGCGATGGGGAGAGAGCGAGTAGCGATGGCCGCGCCCGCGCGGCGCCATCTTGTTGACGAGCTGCTTGAGCGAGAAGAGGAAGCCAAACATGAGCTTGTGATCGTCCGCCATCGCCTTGGCCGAGCGCGGCGCTCGCGCCCACTCCTGAGGATCACGTCAGGAAATGCGACTGTGTGGAAATACGGGTTTGATAGCGGCGTGAGTGGGAAGCACGAGCCTTGTAGAAGAGCAAGTCGCCCTTGCGGTTGAAGATCTGGCGGCAGTGGAGAGGGTGAGCTGTACGCGCGGTGGGACGGGAAGCGCCGCACTGTACTCACGTGGAATGAGTGGAGCATGCGCTGCCGACTCCGGTTGCTTTGCGGCCGCAAAAAAAGAAATTAAATCTTCAAGAAAGAGGGAAAAAATTGGGAAGGGCGCGTCGTCCCGGTCGTCGTCTCCTTTGTCACGCTTCACACTCGACCTCGCACTCGGCGATACTCTCCGACGATGCTCCTCGGTCTTGCCACACCGTTGAGAAGATCACTTCTGGCAGAGAGCGCGCTTGAGCTGAGCGACAGGCTGAGCAGCGTGCGGTGGGCCTGACTCTCAGCCTCGAGCCCTGAGCGCCGTCCGCCGCTGGGCGGCAGGCTGGGGGTTGTGTGAGTCACTTACCAACACCGAGCGCTCAGACCGCATAGAGCGGCGTCAGTGCTTCTCGCGATATTCTCGTTTAAAATCACAATGCTGCGCTCTGCCACTCTGCCAGCCCAGCCTCGCATCCCGTACGCATGGAGCGCTCTACATCCTTCCTCCGCTCTCGCATCAATTCCTCGGGCGGGCGACGGCGTCCCTAGGTCCGCGTCCGGCGGCAAGGCTCTGCGCTCCGTGGACGGACCGCGCGGCGGCCCGCGGAAACGGGGGCGCAAGACGCGGCGCGGCCTGCGCGCGGCGCGGACCCGGCCCGCCGCCTCCCGTGCGGAGGTCTACAGCTTCTTGACGTCCTCCAGTGCGCGCAGATGGCGTCGCTTGTGCAGCACCGCGGAGCCGATAAAGTAGAGCTGGGCGCAGATGGCGAGCAGCGCCAGCGCGGCGAAGGCCATCCAGCCCTGCTTCGTCTTGATCATGTTGAGCGTCAGCACCCTCCCCGCCATGATCGCCGCCTCCTCCAGCGAGTCTTGCTTCTCGATCACCCTCATGTCGGGCAGAGAGTTGGAGAGGTGGGAGACGGTCGACTCGCCCGCATCGCCGTCGACGTAAAACATCTTCGCGGGCCGCACCCTGTGCCACGCCTTGCGGATCGGCTTGACTACAAACTCGTGCTCGTAAGTGTCGCCCGCATTCAGAAAGTCGAGCGTGAAGTTGTTGCCGCCGCCAATGATGCGAAACTTGTCCGCCTTCCAGTTGTCGTCGGCGACGATCAGGCTGTAAGCGTTGCCCACCCCTGGACGCGCGGGCGGCGTGGGCGGTGGGTGCACTGAGCGACCGCGGAAAACGCACTGCGGCCGCGCACCCTTGTTGTAAACGGTGAGTGTGACGTTGAACGGCTTATTCACGGCGTGGCCGTGCGTCTGGCTCAGCTTCTTGTAGAAGAGGAGAGACGCACGCGGCTCCTCGGCGTCGTCCGCCGCAGCCGCGAACAGCAGCACCGCGAGCATGGCGTGTGTCAGACACACCCAGTCGTGACTTGAGAAGAGAAAGCAGAACGGCCCCGCATATCTGTGATCTGTCGGCGCCAAACCACCTCCCACCGAGGCGGGCAGGTTCCACACGCGTGAGCAGACTGCCCCGTTGGAGGTAGGCCGCTCGTCTAGCCAATCAGCCTTAAGCGAGCGGCCTGGCCGTTGGAATGGCCGGGAGGGTGGAGAGAGGGGCGGAGTCGGCTCGGAAGCGCGACTGCAGCCACGGGGACTGCCCGCCCACTCTCGTCGGGTTGAGGGGAGGACGACTGTCTCCGCAGGACCTCAGTTACGAGCCGTCCTCCCCTCGAGACGCGAGGCCAGTGCACTTGGGGCCGAGCCCCAGCGTACACCGTCCCACACGCCTCACGCGGCCTCTGGCTGGAGCGGGATCGCAAGCGAGTCCCCCTGGCCGGCGCGCGTCTTCCGAGAGAGGAGCAGGAGCGAGGGACATTCTTAGTAAGCCGGCATGCAGATGCATGCACGGCCGTTCAGAAACTCTCCAGCCGTTGGAATGGCTGCGCTCCCGCCCCTCACGCCGGGTGGACAAGCGGGGGGGAGGTCAATGACCTGCCTAGTCGCCCGACATGCCAGGCATGCCGACCTTTCGGAGCCCCCCCTCGTAGACGTGTGCCGCTGGGATCATTCCAGTACGCCCGAGGGCCCACACTTCGGATGGTGCTCACCTCAACACCTTGGGTGCAGTCCCTCTGACCCTACCCCCGGTGCCGGTGTGGGCGCTGGCCGGCACACTTAGGTAGAGGTACAGTAAGGTACAGACATGGGCCACTTACCTAAGGTGGAGGTATAGGAACATAGGGACAAAGCGACAAAGGAGGTGTGCGAGAAGCGCACCGCCCGCGACAAAAACAAGTACTACACCGTCCGCGGCGGCTACCTGACTGAGTTCTACCCCAAGAGCGTCCCTAGTCAGGAGCGTCCCGCTCCCCGAGCCCGAGTCCCTTCCAGCTACCGACGCGATTCTCAATGGCACTTGCAAATCCACGTACCCGCGGCCGCGGGCGCTCGCTGCCATCAAGAATCACAAGGACTGGTTCGCGCACCAGGAGCTCGTCAAGGCGCGGGATGTACACGTCAAGAACTACCCGTCCCTCGGAGACAGCGCCGTCAACAACCGCGAAGCCGCGCGCTTCGTCTCCGCCTCAACGCCTTTCGCCGGCAAGGCCTTCGATGTCCGTGTCGACGGTACGTACGCCACCGCCCTCTCCTCCGACACCCTCCAGGACGAGCTCCAGCGGAAGCTCGGCCTTTGGCTCTCCGCGGCGCTTCCCACCCTTCGGGTCGCGCTCGAGCGGGGCATGCCAGTCGATTTTTCTTCGGCGACTACCTTTACAACAAGGCCCACCACCGGCGGCCCCACGACGGCGTCCTCGCCGCCTGGGCGGACGCGATGCGCGCCCCGGCCAACGCGCCGGTCGTGCACGGCGACAAGGAGAAACCAGAGCTCACCCGGCAGTACAACGAGGGGTACAAGACTGACCTCGCAGAACCCCATGCGGGGCCGGGAGGATGCGATGAAGTAAATGAAGTCAAGCTCTGGACGCCCCTCCTCAAGACCTCCTCGCCGGGCGTTGGCAACGCCTCGAGTGGCGGCACGCCCGCCTCCGTTGGCCACTCCTACGCCTTCGGCAACACCGAAGAGAATGAAGGCCCGCCGCCTAAACATGGGCTGCAAGGCGCGCGGGCAGCCCGGCCAACCCTTCTCCCACAAGACCGGCCACAGAGGATGTAGAATGTAGAGCGCTGTAGAGCTGTAGAGATGTAGAGCTCTGTAGAGCTGTAGAGCTCTACATCCGCGCGCCGCGGGACGAAGCGCCTCCGTTGTAGAGCGATGTAGAGCGCGATTTTGTTGTAGAGTTTGTTGTAGAGGCTCTACAGCCAAACCGCCGGGAAGGCAGTGACTCAAAGAGGTCGAGTCGCACTAATGGGGTGTCTCCGAGCTTACTGGAGCTCGCTGATGGACGGCCCTGACTATCCCTGACACACAGAGAGTCACTCTGACGGCACACAACACCCTAACTGCGTCATGACCAGCCTGCCATACGTCGCCGGTGCCGCATTCGTCGCTGTGCTTCTCTAGCAGGCGGTGGACTGTCGGCTGCGAGGACGGTCGCATTTGCGTGAGGCGAGGCGAGCATTCAGATGCGTTGCATGCGCCATGCCTCGCGCCAGCGCGTGCGGGAGCTCCTGGCTGAGCGTTGAGTCCAGGCGAGTTGCGCTGGCCACGATCGCTGCGCCAAGCCGAGCTGATGCGCCGAGGCGCCGGCCAGTCGCAGCCGTGAGGCATGCCACAGCAGCAGAGGCACCTGCCACACCCATTGGGCGGGCAGACAGAAGGCCAGGGCAGCACTGGCAAGTGCAACGCGCCTCATGTCGGAGAGCGACCGTGCCTCTGCTTCGCCGCGGCGGATGATCTGGAGTTTGTTGTAGAGATTTCACGTTGTAGAGGCCTCTACATCGCTCTACATCGGACTCACATCGTCACGCGGCGGATGTAGAGCTCTACAGCTCTAGAGAGAGAGAGAGATTTATCTCTTCTTCAGCTCTACAGCGCTCTTCATCTCTACAGCTCTACAGTGCTCTACACTCTACATCCTCTACTCCCTCATCAGCCAGCCTTCACCGCAATCGGCCCTTCGTGCTCGTCCCTAACCCAAAAAAGCACGATTCTGAAGTTGGGCCCTCAGCTAGGCGGCGCGAGAAGAAAGCGCGTACCAGGTGGCCTGTTCACGCTTGGGAGACCTCGCTGCAGCGCGGGGTGGTGCGCCTGTCCCTGGGGGCGCTGGGTCGATTGGGTGTGAATAAAACGCACATCAGAATTCTTTAGTGACGCGCGCATCTAGTGGAGGAGAGCATCTGGGGACCCTCCCTGTGCGCCCCCCCATCATGGACACACTCAACGGTGGGACTGTGTGCGACCAGCTACCCGTCGCCATCCCCTTCACGCCGCCGGGACCCACTGCGGCAGCGGTGCCGGAGGAGCTCGGCAGTGCCGCGATCCTGCGCGAGCAGCTCGACTCCGTGCCGTCCTCCGCGGCCTCGCCCGCGCTTCCAATCGCCGTGATACTCGAGGAATCTGCCGAGGCCGTGCTCTCGCCCGGCGATAATGGCGGCCGCGACACCGCTGTGCCTGCCGCCACGCCCGGCGGGCCCCCGCCCGGCAACGTGTTGGGCAAGCGGCAACTCGACGAGCCGGCGGGCAGTCAGCCGGTGGGCAAGCCCCGGAAAGAGCCCAAGCCGCGCGCCGACACCGCGCTGCCGCCCGGCTTCTCGCGCACCGTGCGCAACGAGAAGAAGAAGGAGTACTGGTACGTGGCGCCCGACGGGTCCAGGCACTCGAGCCGCGCGGCGGCGTGGCGCCAGTTCTCGACGACGACGGCGGATGGCGCCGCGCGGCTGCGGGCGGCGGAGACTGCGAGAGCGGCTGCCGCCTCGGCAGCGGCGGTGCCAGAGGTTGTCGCTTCGTACTCTGTCGGTGGGAGCGAGGAGGATGAGGCGGAGCTGGCGACGGTGCTGCCCGAGGCGGTGGCGACGGTGGCGGTGGTGACGGCGGCGGAGGCAGCGGCGGGGGAGGAGGAGTGGTGCGGCTCCTCCCCCGCTCCAGCGGCGGTTGCCCAGCAGGGCGCAGGCGGCGAGGCGCCCGCCGCTCTTGTGCCCGCTCCGAAGCTGCGCGCGGACGCGGTCCTCCCTCCCGGCTACACGCGGGCGGTGCGCAACGAGAAGAAGCACGAGTGCGCGCCTCCCCCCCGAGTAGACTCCCCCCCGAGTCGACTCCCAGTAGCTCGTGGGCCCGTGGCTCGGTACCTCGCGGCGGGAGGAAGAGGAGCCCCCCCCCCCCCCCCCCTCCTCCTCTCCCCCTCTCCCCCTCTCGCCCCTCGTCAGCGCCTCGCCCCTCCTCCGCAGGTACTGGTACGTGGCGCCCGACGGGTCGAGGCACTCGAGCCGCGCGGCGGCGTGGAAGCACTTTGCGCCGGCGGTGCCGGAGGAGGTGGAGGCGGCCGCAGCGAGCGCCGCGCTCGCTGCCATCAAGGGCACCTCCTCCACCTCCTCCCTCGACTCCACCGCCCTCACTCTCGTCGCCGTGGCCTCGCCCGCTGCCGCACCTTCGGCCGCACTCGCGCTCGGCGAGGCGCCGCCCGCCCTGGCGGACCCCGCCCCGGCGGCGGCCTCTCTGGCGGCGGGCGAGGCGAGGCAGGAGGCGGGGCAGGAGGAGGAGGCCGCCCCGCAGCCGTCGCCCAAGCCGAGGGAGTCTCGCCCCCGCGACGAGCTCCCTCCCGGCTTCACGCGCTTGGTCCGCAGCGCAAAGAAGCACGAGTGGTGGTACCTGTCGCCGGACGGCACGCGGCTGTCGAGCCGCGCGGCGGCGTGGAAGCACCACTCGGGGGAGCAGCGCACTGCGGAGGGCGCGCCCGCGGCGGACGGCGCCGCGACGGCGCCCGGAGAGGAGCTGCCGACGGTCGCCGAGGCGGTCCTCGCAGAGGCGGTGCCACCGTTGATGGTGCTGCCGTCTGCAGCCGAGGCCGACGCTGTCCGCTCGAGCGTCGCGCCTGCGGGCGACGCTTCCGCCCTCCCGGCCACTCACGCGACAGCGGCTGCTCTTCCCGAAGTCGCCACTCCGGCGGACGCGAGAGACGCGGGCGAGCCCGCCCTCAGCCCTGCGCCGCCTGGACAGCCACGCGCAGACACGCCGCCGGGCTACACGCGCGCGGTGCGCAACGAGAAGAAGAAGGAGTACTGGTACGTGGCGCCCGACGGGTCGAGGCACTCGAGCCGCGCGGCGGCGTGGAAGCACTTTGCGCCGGCGGGGAGCGACGGGGTTGGGCAGTTGGGCATTGCAGAGGCGGCGGTGGCGGTGGCGATGCCGATGGCGTCGCACGGCGAGGTGGCGGCGGAGATGGTGCTGCCTGAGGCGGTCGCTGAGCTTGCGTCGTCGCCGGTCGACGCTCCACTCATCACTATTGCCACGAGTGCCGCCGACGCGGCTCCGGCCGAGGCGTTGCCAAACGAGATTTTGCAGCCCGGACACGCGCCTGTGTGAGTCACTTGTGAGTGACGCCGCGGAGACTCCGGGAGAGGTGTCCCCGGCAAGAGAGATAGACTATAGTGGAATTAATGCACACTAGACTGTGGACAGTTGCTAAATTCTCTCGGTCACGTTTTCCGCTTTGTGACTTTTGACGCGATCAAATGTGGGGTGGACGCGGCCCCCGACCCCAGGTCGCTGGTGCCGTGGGCGTGGCTGGGCCGAGTGGTGCCCCGGGCCCCGCCGGCCGCCGCGCGCCGGCGGTGCCCCCCAGCCCCCACCCCCTCCCCCACGCCCCAGCTCGCGCAGGTGGCGCTCTCTCGTCGGCCAGAGCACCCACGGCAGCTGGCGGGTGCCGCTCTTGAGCAGCTCCTCTCGGCAGACGTGCCACACGTCGCCGTAACGGTAGAAGGGCACCGACGGGGCGAGGTGATGTATGTTGTGCATATTTTGCGAGAGCAGCAGAACGGAGAGGAGGGGCGAGGGCACGCCCGTGGTGACCGACGTCGCGAGGTACTGGTCGAGCGACTTGTGCGGGCGGTGCGGCAGGTAGTCGAAGGTGTACAAGAGGTAGGTCGCGGCGCCAACAAAGGGGAAGAGCCAGAACGCGACTGCAGACACGTCCCACACCCACCAGAGCACCGTCATGTAGACGGCGGGCGTGGCCGCGAGGTCGAGCTCGACGACGTTGCGCCATCTGCCCGGCTTCCGCTGCGGATAATCTACCTGCTCCTCGACGGAGCGCTCGATGGCGAACGAGACGTAGTAGTAAAACCCGGTCGCCCAGCGAAGCGGAAGCAAGACGAGCGGCCCGGCTCCCGCCCAGTGGTCCGGATCGAGTTCGGACTCGTTGAGGTGAGCGTGGTGGGCGAGATGGATGAGGCGGAAGGCTCGGTACATGCCAACGAAGGGCAGCGAGGCGGCCATCCCGACGGCGGTGTTCAGAGTGCGCCATTTGGGAGCGACGGCGCCATGGACGGCATCGTGCATAGCAGCGGCCTCACTCGACAGGCGTCCACTCGCCTTTGGATTGTGTGGGTCCAGCGAGGCGAGGGTTCCGAGAGTCAGAGCCGTCGAAAGAGCAGTGATGATGGAGAACCGTGTCAGGGCTCGGACGAGGAGATGGCATCGAACGGGCGTCATCGTCGAACTACTGCGCCATCGCGCTGATGTCGAACGAAGAAGGAACGCACCAAAAAAGTTTCTCGGAGGTTAGTGCACCACTGACCGCCGACAAACACTTACAGCAAGAACACTTTTTGTCTTCCCTTTGAACAACTTCGAAGAGCTTGAGGGAAAAGAAGAAAAAACGGGGCTGCGTTGTTTGGGAACACAGCTCGCCGCTCGCCTTCGTCGACACCTCGTCGTCGCCTTAACAGCTCGCCCTCGTCGTGAGACACACACATACACACAAACACACACACACACACACAAATGGCTCACGCCTACACAGTCCCAGCTGCTGGCGACATCAGCAAAGCCGGCGACGGGAAGTCGCTGCTCGAGCACATCGTGGCGGATGTCAAAGCGCTCCTCGCCGCCAAAAACTGTGGTCCGATTCTCATCCGGCTATCGTGGCACGATGCAGGCGTGTTTTCAAACGGCAGCCTCAAGGGTGGCTGTCCGAACGCAGTGATGCGCTTCACCGACTCCGGCGAAGGCACCTTCGAAGCAAACGCAGGGCTGACCGACGTGGCGATCGGCCTGCTCAAGCCGATCGCCGACAAGTACGTGACTGCGGGCGTGATCTCAAACGCCGACTTGTGGGCGCTGGCCGCGAACGTGGCGATCGAGTTTATGGGAGGCCCCCACGTCGTCACCCGTTTTGGCCGCCCCGACGCCAAGGACTCTGGTGAGTCGGTCGAGTCGCAAGTTGGGAGGCTGCCTGATGGCGACAAGGGCGTGTCGCACCTTCGGGAGGTGTTTGCGCCGAAGGGGTTCGACGACCGTGACATTGTCGCGCTTTCCGGCGGGCACACGGTAGGCGGCTGCAAGCAGCAGCGCTCCGGCTTCGACGGCCTCTGGACTGAGGCTCCGCTCGTGTTTGACAACTCGTACTTCACCGACCTGCTCGAGAAGACCTACCGGCCCGAGACGGTGGAGGCGACCGGCTGCCCGCAGCACCGGTCGGACAAGGGCACCATCATGCTCATCTCCGACCTGGCGCTGCTCGAGGACGCGGCCTTCAAGTCGGTCGTCGAAGAGTACGCCGCGGACCAGAGCCGGTTCTTCGCCGACTTTGTGTCCGCTTGGACCAGGCTCCAAGAGAACGGCGTGGGCGACCTGCTCCGCGACGAGCTGGCACCGCCGAAGTAGCGGATGGAGTGCCCGGCCTGAGAACGGAGGGCCCGCGCCGCCTCTAGACGCCTGGGTCTGCCCTTGCCGAGCGAGAAGCCACTGTACCTCTTTGTCTCTCTAGCTCACGCGGGTTGCGCCACACGGAAGGTCAGATAGGTACACCTGTTCGCCTCCGCGTCGTCTCTCTGCGCGCCGGCGGTGGCTCGCACGCGTGCTCCGCGAACTCGCTCGATGTATCGGCCGTGTGTCGCGTCGACCTCTGAGCTCTCGTGCACGTGCTGTAGCTGAGCCGGCGTGCAATGCGTGCTGTTTCGGTCTATCATGTTGTTGTCTGTTTTGTTTATTCACACGTCTTGGCTATTTCCAATTCACTCTGACCACTGGGCGAACTTCAGCCTGCCCGCTTGAGTTTCCTCAATTGGCTAGAATTTTGCTTAGTACTCGAGTAGAAAAAAAGAACAGCTTCAAGCACGGACGGAGCGGGCATTTCGAAGTGGTCAGCGGGCATTTCGAAGTGGTGCGGCGGCAGGCTGCCACCGCTGCCCGGCTGCCCGGGCGCCCCGAGCGGCGGCGGAGGGCCGCCCAGGCCACCACCAGTGCCCCTCCCACCGGCGGCGCGGCGGCAGCGGCGCCGACCGCCCCTCCATCAGCGGTGGCGCGACGGCTGTCGTCGGGGCGCCGGCAGGTGCCGCGCGCAGAGGGTGCCACCGGACCGGCCGACGCGCGCCCGGCGGATCCTTCGTCGTCCATAGCGGGCCGAGCACCCCCGCGTCGCTTCTCGGCGCATTGGAGAGCAGGGGAAGCTGCTGGCGTCGCCGCTGGGATCGGCGGCGGCGCCAGCAGCGTTCTCGGATCTGAAGCCGACTTTGAGCGGCCGCCGATCGATCGATCTGAGGGCTGGCCGATGGGTGGCGCTGGGACATCGCCGCCGCCGCGGAGGCCGGCGGCGACCAGAGGAGCGGTTGGGGCGCGTGTCACATATGTTACCTGCCAAGTGAGCATTCAAGTGTGTTTCGAGATTTATTCGAGATTTGAAACTCAGATGTTCGTTTCCAGTGGGGAGGTGCCAGACCTGATCTTAGAATCGCTCCTAGTATGAGGTCATCTGGCTACCGCAAGAGCGACCCAACTCGTCGACATCGTCCGATGATGGTGCCGCAAAGTCAGCCTTCAGAGGCGATCGTGGGGTCGAGCCGGCGGTGGCCGTGACATGTTTGTGCATGTTGTTGTGCATGTCAATTTTGATGTTCTATTGTCCGTGTAGCGTGTTGCTCCCAGCGCCCTCGCCCGCGCTCCCTGAGGCCATGGCTGGTGCTACTAGTATGGGGGCTACCTGGATACCGCGAGAGCGACCCAACTCGTCGACATCGTCCGATGATGGTGCCTCAAAGTCAGCCTCCGGAGGCTATCGTCGCGTCGACCGTCGAGCCGGCGGTGGCCGTGACATGTGCATGTTGTGGTTCCACCACCCCTCGTAGGCTTTGCCTCTGACCGCCACCGTTCCCAGGCTGCCTAAATAACCTGGTTTGTGGACCTCCCGCACCTTACCCTTACAGGCCACCATAAGGGACCCCGTTGTCCGTTTGACATCAGACTTTTTTTGAGTTGGAGGTAATAATTAAAAGGATTGCACTGTCCCAAAGAACTGATTCATTCATTTCACCCTCACATAGTAACAATACCTCAAAGTTGAAAACCTCCAAAATAGGCCGTCAGGACTCTGTCAGGACTCCGTCAGGACTCTGTCAGGACTCTGTCAGGACTCCGCCAGGACTCCGCCAGGACAACCACTGCCCCCCCGCTGTGAACAGAGCCCTTAGCTAGAGAGTAGGGAGGGGTGTACAGTCGAGTTACTCCCGAGGGCAGGGACGGCCCTCCACTGAGGGAAAGGGCGCAACGGGGACGGTATGCTCACAACCCAGCCACGCAGCTCTTTGCTCGCGTACAGCCAACGAGTTTGCTGGTCCACAGGCAGGCCAGGCCGTGAGCGTGGGCCGGTCGGGCCTGATCCTGCGGTGAGCACTGGAGGGCTATGCGGCTCGCTCCGTCAGCCGACTTGCGCCGTCGAGCGGTCGAGCGCTTCGGGTTGGACCCGCGGGAGGGTCCCTGCGCGGCTGACATGGCCAGCCAAGCCGTGTGCGCTGCCGTGGGCGCTGTCGTGGGTGCTGCCGTGGGTGCTGCCGTGGGCGCTGCTGTGGGCGCTGCCGTGGGCGCTGCCTCGGTCAGCAGTCGGTCAGCAGTCGGTCAGCAGTCGGTCCGCTGCTCGGCGCTGGCCTGCAGGCCGCCGGTGGCAAATCGGGGGGGCGCGGGCCATGGACGTCGTGGCCGAGCTTTGCTGCCTTCTTGCACGTTGCCGGCTGTAACGTTGCCTGCACCATGGCCGCGCCTCTCTTGCTTGTGCGCTTTCATGGTCGAGCCGAGTGGCGCGAGAGTGAGCGTGATTTCTTTTGTCTGTCAGGACTCTAAGTTTCTGTCAGGACTCTCAAGTTTCTGTCAGGACTCTCAAGTTTGCTTGTCAGGACTCTCAAGTTTGCTTGTCAGGACTCTCAAGTTTGCGTCAGGACTGCCCCATCAGGACGATTCCGCAGAGGGCGCGCACGGTCGAAAGGGGGGCTGGGCGTCTATCATTCACTGCTGGGGGGGAGGGGAAGGAGGGTTGCAGTGAAGGAAGGTGGAGGTCTCGTCGGAGGCACTTGTGAGCACTGTGAAGACCGTGCGCCGTCAGGACCCCGCCAGGACTCTGTCAGGACTCTGTCAGGACTCTGTCAGGACTCTGTCAGGACTCTGTCAGGACTGTCAGGACAGGTGCGGGAGGTCCACAAACCAGGTTTAAATGGGATGGCCGGCGGCGGCGACAATTTTGTCCCTCCCCAGGACGCGCAGAGAGGCAGCTGCGACCCCGCCGAGTGGACGGTTGCACACCGCGCCACCTCACACCGCTGCTGTGTGCAACGTGCAACCGCGTCTACTCGGCGGGAGGTCGCAGCTGCCTCTGGAAGGCACCGAGAGGGACAAAATGGCGCAAATGGTCAAAATCAAGGTTTTGTAACGGGCGAGCTGTGACCACAGTGAAATGGAACTAGCCCTTTATTTAAATATTCAAGAGACAAGAGAATTCTCGGAGAGAATAGCTCTCCACGTTTAACCACAGGTGGCCGCATTCACATGCTACGCGCCTTACGCGCCCTGTCCACCCACGGCCAGCCTCGCCGGTACGAATACGAAACTCCGCCACCACTGGGCAATCCTGCGAGGGCGGGGGGGTTCACCGGATCACCTCGTGGCATCCCGGAGCCGGCGGTCGAAGTCGTCGAGGGCGGGTGTCTGCTGCTCGGGCTGCTCGCCGAGCGACTTCGACGAGTCGAACGCCACGTCCTCCTCGGACACGAGTCGGAGCTTCTTGCCCCGCCGGCTGGCCGCCTCCAGCCGCTTCTGCAGCTCGCTGCCTCCGCGCCGCAGCGCGTCCCGCCACGCCCGCCGGTTGGCGTTCCGCTGCGCGACGGCGGCATTCTCGGCTTGCAGCCGCGCGAAGCGGACGGCCGGGATGGCGACGTAGCTGACGGCGTAGGCCAGCAGGAGCGGGAAGACAGCCTGGACGGCACCGAGCTCGCCCGGGAGCTGCGCGCCCGGCGGCAGCTGCGCGAGCAGAGAGCCGAGGTAGGCGCAGCCGCCCAAGTTGAGGAGGCCGAGCGCGCCCGCCGCAAAGAGCTGGCCGCCCTCGGCGTTTGAGAAGGGCGCCGTCCTCTCCTCGAGGTACCCTTCCTGCGCGAGTTGCGGATACACCCTGGTCCCCCAGGTGTGAACGTCACGTGTGAACAGTCTCAGTAGCCACTGTGAGTCTCCCGTGACAGCCGTAGTGTCTGTGAGTAGCGGGGGAGCGAGTAGATAGCCGAACGGGGGTTTTTCCCCGACCTCCCCGAGGTCGGCCTGCGACCTCCGAGAGGTCTTGCGCCGCTGCACCCGCCGGGTTTTGCGAGCCCGGAAACGCTGAAAAGTAGGCTAGTAAGCGGGTGTTCTGTGTGGCTTGAGTAACAATCAAAGTTCTAAAACCGCCCGGAGGTGCTGTCACTCCGTAGAACGAACTAAGTAAACCTCACCGAGCTTCCACTCGGGACGACTCCGAACTACCCCTCTCTCGAGCACGCAAGGGGAGTACGATATCGCGACCAAGGCAGTCCAAACGGGACTAGCTCTCTCTGACACCATTACTTTCGCACTCGAAGACCTACCGGACTTCCTGGCGAAGCACTCGAAGGATGAGCTGGGTCTCCCCATGCCGGTCTACTGCGACAACAAGTCGGCCTGCCTCCTATCCGAGGGGAATACCTCTTCCAAGAGGATGCGGCACGTCGCAACCAAGATTGCCTTCCTCCGGGAGCAAATTAAGGATGACAAGCGCGTACACATGTACCACATCCGCACCCAAGGCCAACTGGCGGACATCATGACCAAGCCGCTGGTGGCAAGTGTCTTCCATCCGCTCGTCGCTTTCGCCCTCGGGTAGTTAGCTGGGGGGCACTGGTGATCCCCAAACGGGCACTAGCAGCACCAACAGCCGAGCCGCGGCATGTCGGCGCTGAGGGGGTGATCTGCGCGAGTTGCGGATACACCCTGGTCCCCCAGGTGTGAACGTCACGTGTGAACAGTCTCAGTAGCCACTGTGAGTCTCCCGTGACAGCCGTAGTGTCTGTGAGTAGCGGGGGAGCGAGTAGATAGCCGAACGGGGGTTTTTCCCCGACCTCCCCGAGGTCGGCCTGCGACCTCCGAGAGGTCTTGCGCCGCTGCACCCGCCGGGTTTTGCGAGCCCGGAAACGCTGAAAAGTAGGCTAGTAAGCGGGTGTTCTGTGTGGCTTGAGTAACAATCAAAGTTCTAAAACCGCCCGGAGGTGCTGTCACTCCGTAGAACGAACTAAGTAAACCTCACCGAGGTCGCCACTCAACCTCCCGGAGGTCATGGCAGAGCGTCGGGCGCCATGCGCCCGCTCGCCAGGGCCCGGCCCGGGGAGTGGCAGTCGCTCTTCTTGCGACCTGCGTCAAAGGCTGCAGAACACGCTGCATATCGCCGGTTCACGGGCCCAAGGCGATGGTTCACGCCTCGGGTCCGGCGGCAGCTCACGCCCTGCACAAGGTAAACTCCCAGTTCCGCAGCCTTCGGGGAAGAGGCTGCCGCCGCCGCCGCCGCCGAGCTGCTCGCCAGCCCACGAGCGGAGCGCGTCGCGGAGTGCGCCCGCATCGGCTCCCTGCGTGGGGATCGCACGCTCCTGCGCGAGCCTTGCGAGCTCGGCCGCGTCGAGGGTGCGGACGGCAGCGAGGGCGGGGTCGGCAAGCACGAGGCTCGCCTCGGACGCGAGGCCCGAGACCGTGAGCTCGTCGAAGACATACACGATCGTCCCTTCGCCGCTCACCTCGGGCCGGCCTCCCAGCTCCGTCGCCGCCGGCAGCACCCAAGACTCGTCCACGTTGTACGATTCGGCGAACGTGCCGGCCGGCGGAGGGTCGAGGAAGGGAGCGAGGCTCTCGGCGGTGACCGCACCGCTGTTGGAGCGGATCACCTCCGCCATCGCACGCAGCCGCGCCGCGCCGATCGCCTTGTTCGGGTCGCCGTCTCCGAAGACAAACGAGAAGACGGCCTCGGGCAGCGTCATCCTCGGCGGCGGCGCAAACCACCCGTACGAGTAGAAGCCGTACGGCCTCGGGAAGAGGATGTCGAAGGGCGAGATCTGGCCCCAGCCAAAGCCGAAGAGGCTGCGCTCGCGCCCGCCGCCAAAGCCGCGGTCGCGCTCGTCGTCGCGCTCGTCGCCGCCAGAGGTGAGCACAGTGATGGCGGTGAAGACGACCGCGATCGAGGCGAAGAGCGCGAGGCCGAAGGCGAAGCGTCCAGCCGTCTGCAGCGCGGGCTTCGCCGAGTTCCACGCGTCGCGCGCCTTGGCGGCCGCCGAGCGCGAGGCGAGCTCCCTGCGGACATCTGCCGGGAAGGAGTACAGCAGGTCGCCTTGTTCGGACGCGGAGACGGAGACGCCGTCGCAGCCGGCGAGCGCCGTGGCGAGCTCCCTCATCCCGCGGCGCGCCTCGTCGATGCTGACGCCGGACTGCGCCGCCAGGTCGGCCGCCGTGAGCCGAGCACCCTTGGCGGCCTCCACCGCGGCGACCACCCTTTCGGGCGGTGGGGCGAGCTCCGACATCTCGAGGAGGTTGGTCATCACGGGCGGAGCCGTGCGCAGCGGGCCATTGTGACGTGGCGCCGGGCGAAGCAGGTAAGGCAGCGGCGCCGGGCGAAGCGCCAGGGCAAGCGCAGAGAGCATGATCAGCATCCAAGCCTGGCGAGGTACTCCCACGCCTCTAGTCTGGCCGAGTCAACCCGAGACTGCAGGGGGCGAGCCTCGGCGAGAGACTGCGTCAGCTGTTCCCACAGCAGGCTGGAGACCTCGCCAGATGCAAGCAGGTTTTCTTTTCGGTACGAACGGAAAAGCTAGAGACTGCAGAGAGACACTGAAAACAGAGGAGAAAGGTAACGGGAACATGGCTCAAAAAAGAAACGCCCGAACATGGCCGGCAGCTTGGCGCTGGCCCTCGCGTCCGTGAGCATTGCTCTCCGTCGCTCTCCTTTACAGCCCGTGCGGCCGGCCGCAGCAGCCCCGCTCGCCCACCGCCTCTCGACGGTTGTGTGCGCGACCAGTGGCGGTAAGCGCCGCACGTCTTCGGCGCCGGGCGGCATCACCCAAAAGGCGCGAGAGAGGGCGCGCGCCCGCAGAGTGTCGACCGCTTCGCATCCTGCCGTCGGCGCCGCAGCTGCACGCGGCGCGAGCGCTGCGCCGGCGGGCTCTGCCTCGGCTGGGCCGACGCGGCTCGCAGACCTGCCCGACTTTCGCGGGCCCGGCCGGCTCCTCAAGGCTGCTCGCAAGGTGCTCTAGCCCGCGGCCGCCTGCATCGCGCCGCCGCCGTGACAGCCGCCCTCTCTCTCTCTCTCTCTGCCGGCAGGCGGCCGCGACGGCTCCACCCTCGGCCGTCAAGGGCAACGTGCGTAAGAGGGCGGCCAAGGACGCGGCCCGCAAGCTGGAGGCGTTCACGTCCGCCCTCTCGGTGCCGGTCAAGGAGCAGCAGCGCGCGTTTCGCGCCCATCTGCGCGCGCTGCCGCCCTTCGAGGCCGCCCCTCGCCTCGCCCCGCCCCGCCCCCCCCCTCCGCGTTCTCTCGCGACTCTTCTCTCTCTCTCTCTCTCTCTCTCTCTCTCTCTCTCTCTCTCTCTCTCTCTCTCTCTCTCTCCTCTCTCTCTCTTCCTGAGCCGGCGCGGCACCCGCCCCGCCGCAGGCAGCCCTCGCAGACCTCACCCTCGACTCGCTGGTCCGGCGGGGCGGGCTGCCGCTGAGCGCCGTGCTGCAGCGGCACGACGAGATGCGGCGCGCGGTCGTGAGGACAGGCGACGCGCGGTCGCAGTCGAGCAGCAGCCTCGACCCTCGCCGCTGACCCTCCTCGGACCTTTCTCCAAGGCAAGGAGGCGATTGCCGTCGCCGCGAACGCCTCGAGCGCCGCCGAGGCGTCGGCCGCCCTCGAGGAGGGCCTCGCAGAGGCGGCGCTGCGGCGGAGGGGAGGGGGGGTAGCGAGGGGGCGGGTGCAGGGACGCGAGACTGGTGCCCCTCACCGGTGCTCCTCAGGTGGAGTCCGTCTTTGAGGCGGAGGCGGAGGGGCTGATGCTGCTCATCGAGACGGCGCAGACGCTGCGCAGGCTGCCTCGCGTCGAGACGGACGCCCCGGTGGCGGTGCTGGTCGGGATGCCCAACGTCGGCAAGTCCTCCATCGTCAGCGCAACCTCGTCCGGCACGCCCGAGGTCAACGACTACCCCTTCACCACCAGAGGGCTCAAGCTGGGGCATGTCGGGCAGCACGGCGCTCCCGACCGCTACCAGGTGGAGGCACCGCCCCCCCCCCCCCCCCGGGGCACGAGGCGGCCGCCCGGGCCCCTCGCCCACCCTCCTCCCTCCCCCTTCCCTTCCCTCCTCCCGCCCTCCAGCTGATGGACACGCCCGGCGTGCTGCACCGGCCGGAGGACGAGCGAAACGCGATGGAGGGGCTCACACTCGCGGCGGTGCAGCTCCTCCCGTCGGCCGTGGCGCGCTCGCGGACGCACGCCCTCCACGTCTCGCACACGCCTCGCCCACCCTCCTCCCCACCCTCCTCCAGGTCTTTGTCATGGACCTGTCCGGCACCTGCGGCGAGCAGTCGGCGCCGAGGCTGCAGCTCATGGTGCGGGAGCAGATCCGCGCCGCCTTCCCGCGCCGGCCATGGCTGGACGTGCGCTCCAAGGCGGACCTCCCGCTCGCCGAGGGCCTGGCCGCCGAGGACGTGCCGCCCGGGACGCTCGACGTCTCCGTGCACGAGGGACGCAACGTCGCCGAGCTCGCTGCACACATGGCGCAGATGGTGAGCCGCGTCCCGGGACGGAAGCCAGGGCCGCCGTCATGACCGTGCATAGACTTAGTGGTGGTTTGCGCTTTGGTGTACCGCATGCGGCTGAAAATCTCTTGTATTGCGGCTATTGCCGCGGCGCGAAAAAAACGACAACCGGGAGTTCGAGAGTCGCCGCGATGGTTGAATGAACTCAAAACGCACGCGTACTCACAGCGCGCGTGAAGAGCGACACGGGTCGTCGACAGCGCGGGACGTTCCCCAGCGGCTACTGCTTTGCCTTTAATCTCTGCAGGTCAGCCTGCCGCTGTCGGTAGTCGTCGAGGTCGGCCTGCGTGATCTCGTCCTGCCGGACGGCATAATGGGTGCAATAGTAGAAGACGCTGCCGATGAAGCCGAGGAGCGCCGCGCCGGTGGCGTAATTCGCTCCCTGGGGTCGAGGTGGAGGAGGCATCCTATTTTCGTCTTTTTTATTTTCGCTTCGCTGCGTGCGCGGCCTGCTGCGCGGCCGCCGTCGAAAGACCACGGGGTTCTTTTTTCGTGCTCGAGCTCGTGGGCTATGGTGTCAGCGTCAGAGAGGGCGCGCCGGCTGCGCGCCCCCGGGGCGCCCCCGGCCGCCCACCGCGCTCTGCAGGTGTCGTCGGGACCCTCGCCGAGCTGTGAGCGAGGCGAAGAACGCGCACGCGACCTTTCGGGCTTGCGACGAGCCCACGCAGGCGGCGCGGCGGGTGGGCGCGATGCCGCCCGGGCAGCGCCGGCAGGGGGCGGCCGCGTTGTGGGTCGCCCCGCCATCTGCATCTGCCAGCCCATCTTCTGGCAGGTGGCGGCCCCGGCCTCCCTCTTAACCCACCTGTTGTCGTGCATTAACACATAAAAGAATTTTAACAAAACAACTAACACACATGAAAGAAAGTAGAGGACGGCCGACGAATGCGCGACTACAACCCTCGCAAGCTCGCTCGCGGCGGCATGGGCCCGCCACCGCCGCCGCCACCGCCTGGCCGACCGACGGCCGGGGCCGGCGGTGCTCCTGGCGCGTTCTCCGCGCAAGTTTCCGCTTTTGCGGCCGCCGCGCCATCCTGCCCGACAATGCTCGCCTCTGGGCCACATGCGCCTTGCCAGCCAGCCAGTGCTGCCGGCTCCTACGCCAGTGCTGCCCGCTCTTTTATGTAGGAGACGAGACGCCGTGGTCCTTCAGGACGATGCTTTGTGTCCTAGGTGTTAGATACACACGGGGGGGTGTTTGGACACACAGGATACACGTGAATCCACACTCAGTCTGGATACACAGTGGATACACAGTGAGATACACAGCCTCCGGTTTCGAAGACGAGCACGTTTTTTTGCTGTGTCCGAAAGAGGTATTCGCCTGAGATCGCCGTCGCCGATGCCCTTCAACCCGAACCCGGATCGCGCGCGGCGCGGCGCAGGCGCGACGGCCCTTGTGCCTGCGCCGGCACCTGCGCCGGCGCCTGCCGCCACGGCCCTCGCCGCGGCGGCGCCGGCTGCAATTGTGATGGCTTAGTTTGGTTCTCCCCTAGGATAGGCATGAGCGAGCGAGAGGAGCCGGAGAGGGCGCGTGTGTAGGCAGCTTCCGAGAGTTGAGATACACTAGATACACTGTGTATCCACCCAAGTTCTGGATACACTGGATACATATCTAACACCTAGGCTTTGTGTCCTTCAGGACGATGGTGATCTTGGTTTGATCGTTCCTGTACGCCTCGGTACAGACCCTCGCTCCGTGTACAGCTCACAGCTCACTACATGGTTCCTCCGGCGAGATCGCGGAGCGAGGAGATCGACGGCAACTCGGCCGTCGTGAGTGCTGGTGCGGTGCGACCGCACAGCTTCCCGGCTAGCGCTCAATACGGTAGCCAGCACCATGGACACCTGCGGGGCGTCGTGGTGGCGGGCAGGGCCAGAGCCCCTGCACAAAGTCTTCTTGGCACCTCGGCCGGAAGCCTGCTCGGCACCTCGGCCGTGCAGCCCTGCATAAAAATAAAATATTCTTAGCTTCAAGCCTCCCTCCGAGACTATAGGGACAGAACCACACCAGTATAGACCAGAGGGTGTGCGCCTCGCCCCCACTTGCCCTGACTGCACAGGATAGCGTGCCCCGATAACGGCGACACATAGTGGGGGACACCCGGAGCAAGATGTCGATCGAGGCGGACCAAGAGCGAGGACGCCGAGCGCAAGAGAGAGGGAGGGAGGCGCAATCAATCACGGCGTCGGCGATGTGAAAACCAAAAGTACAACGAGGGGTACAAGGTCGACCTCGCGGAACCCCACGCTGGCCCGGGAGGATGCGATGTTACGGCGATGAGGTGAATGAAGTCAAGCTCTGGACGCCCCTCCTCAAGACCTCCTCGGCGGGCGTTGGCAACGCCTCGAGTGGCGGCACGCCCGCCTCCGTTGGCCACTCCTACGCCTTCGGCAACACCGAGGAGAAGGCCCGCCGCCTAAACATGGGCTGCAAGGCGCGCGGGCAGCCCGGCCAACCCTTCGACCACAAGAACGGCCACGGCTACGTCAAGGCGCATCGCGGTTTCTACCACGACGCGATCTTTGTCAAGCGCAACAACTTCAACCTGCTGCTCCACGAGACGTTCGGCGGCGGCTTCTCGCCCACCGCCGTTCTCAAGCTGCGCCGCCTCGCGCGCAAAGTCGCGCGCGGCAGCGTCGACCGCACGGCCTACTCGCCCAAGTACTCGCTTTCTTTTCGTTCGGCCGAGCCCCCGCCTTCTGGTGTGTCGACACCAGAAGGGGGTCGTGGGACGTTCTCAAGAGAAGACGACGTACTCGTGGACGGCCGCAATCACAGTGGACGGGACACGACAGGGTGAAAGCATCACTCTCTCTCTCTCAGAGGCAACTAAAACACACTAGGCACACTAGGGTTCGGGAGAAGGCTAGGGTTAGGGAGAGAGTGCCTGACGGGCTTCGGCACGACGGATCATCCTACAGAAAGATATTCAACGCTTTGCTCGTTTCTTTTCAAGTGCCAGTGCGCGCCAGTCCCGTGCCCAGCGTCGTGCGAGGTGTGCTGGCCAGAAATTCTTTTCAACATTTCGGCGGCTCGTCCCTTGCATTTCGCTGCATCGGACCTCGATTTGCTCACCTCCCTTCCTCCCTCCACACGAACCCAGCGGCCTGCGATGATCACTTCTCGACGCGGCTCTGGGGCGCGCTGGGGCACGATGGGCGCCCTTGCGCTCGCCGGCGCGCTCGCCGGCGCGCTCTGCTTCGTGGCCGCACCCCGCCGGGCCGCGCGTAGCCTCCTCCTCCCAGACTACGACTACAGCGCAGCGGTCGGCTCAGGCCCCTTCCCTTGGGAAGAGCCATCCTTCTCGCCCTCCTGGCCAGTGGTCGACATTCGCATTCCCGACTTCGGGTCCTTGTTCCAAAGCAGCCCTCCGCCTCCGCCTCCGCCGCTCGCCCGCGCCCGGCTGATGGACTGGACGATGGCGTTCATCTCGGTCGACACGCACACCGAAGTGCCCCCCTCCGCGCTGGGTGCGCTCCTGTCCCATGCACACGACCGACCCCGGCCCTATTCCTCGCAGGTGCCGGTCAATGTGCAGGTCGGCGACACGGCGCAGAAGCAGGCGCTCGACGCGACCGTCGACCTCACAAAGACCGCCGTCGCAGGCAGCCAGGGCTACGTCGCGGCGGACGGGTTCGTGCCTGCGCGCGCCTCCTCCTCCAGCAGCGGCGGGCGGCTCGGCGACGAGATTGGCGCCGGTGGGCCGCGCGCCTTGAGCGACTTCCCCTTCCTTCCCCCGCCTCGGTGAGCCTGCCTTGGAGCAGGGGTTTGAATGTGTGTAGGGGAGCTGCGCAGCGGGGACTTCGCCGCGGACGTGCCTCCGTGCCGGTACGCGGGCGAGACGGGCTGCTTGGTCGCCGCCCCCCTCTGCCACGACGAGTGCGGCGAGTACCTCTCGACGCTCCGCAGTCAGGGCGTGACAGACTACGACGGCGTCGGGGTGTGCGACGACGGCGGGGAGGGGTCGGAGTGGGGCGCCTGCGCCTTGGGCTCCGACTGCTCCGACTGCGGGCCGCGGGAGGCGGAAGGGGCCCCCTCTGCCACCGGCAGCGGCAGCGGCAGCGGGCGAGGCATGGCTCAGAGCGGTGCGGGCGGCGGCGGCGGCGCGAGCGCGAGCAGCAAGGAGGCCCCTACTAGGGCCCCTAGCAAGGCGCACGCTGTTGTGGCGAGCAACCCGACGCTAGGCACGCTCTCGAGCTTGTCGGGCATGCTCGGTGCGACGCGCCACCCGCACTAAACCCGCACTCCCCTCTCCCCTCCCTCGCCTCCCCGCGCGCTCTGCTCCCGCTCCCCCCCTTCTCTCGCGATTGCATCTTCTTCCGGCGACATCAACGCGACGTCCCCTCTCTCATGGACACAGGCGTCAAGGCGCTGTTCACGCCGCCCCCGCCGCCTCCGCCAAACAGCGTCGCCTCCTTCCTCTCGCACGTGACCACGTCGGTCGACAACAAGCTGACAGACACAGGGCTCCCGGCGCTCTTCGCCGACCCGCCCCCGCCCCCGCCAGATGTGCTCCACGCACTGCTCTTCGACTGATACGCTTTTGCAACCTCTCCCCGCCTGCTGCTGCCTCGTGTGTCGTTAGCTTAGGCCGGTGGTGGAGATGGACATGCGATTCTCCTGAGCTCTCCCCGAGAGAGAGAAAGCCCTCGAGGAGAAGTGAAGTTCTTTGGGGAAGCGCTTATCACATTTTTGTGGTGACTGTGTTGTGACAGATCTGATGAGCTTCGTGCGCGTAGCTCGTGCGTGTTGCAGGCGTTTGTGTGTGTTGTTGCTGTGTGCCATCTTCCCTCTCAGTGTATCCTAATTGGAATGCGACTTTGGAAATCAAATCAATTCTCACAAGACTGTACAACTCGCACAAGTGAGGCTGCAGGCTCTAGAGGGGGTTAAAGGAGCCCAGGCTAGTTCCATTTCACTCTGACACGCTAATCTTGAAAACGTCCAACGGAGCTCCGTGTTGCTCCCAGCGCCCTCCCCCGCGCTTCCTGCGGCCATGGCCGATGATACTAGTATGAGAGGTCATCTGGCTACCGCGAGCGCGACTCAACTCGCCGACGTCGTCCGATGATTGTGCCTCAAAGTCAGCCTCCGGAGGCTATCGTGGGGTCGAGCCGGCAGTAGCCGTGACATGTGGTTCCACCACCCCTCGTATGCTTTGCCTCTGACCGCCACCGTTCCCAGGCTGCCAAATGGGATGGAAAGGAAGGCTCGGCGAGCGTATAGAAGCGTGCTCGACCTCGTCGTGGCAACCTGCACGGCAGCGCTGGTAGGCGCGATGAGCGTCGTGCCACCTGACCCGAGACGGGTCGCAGGCGTCGTACCGAGCGCGTCGAGACCGTGTCCTGATGTGATCTGCACGGGTGAGTCACGTCGGCGTCAAAGGAGCGACGTGCGACCTGTCAGAGCTTGATCTCCGATCTCAGCGGCGTCGAGTCGTCTCCGGCGCGCGACAAAGGTACATCCCCAGGACGCGCAGAGGCAGCTGCGACCCAGCGGAGTGGACGGTAACGCACCGCGCCACCTGCTGTGCGTTACCGTCCACTCGGCGGGGTCGCAGCTGCCTCTGGAAGGCACCGAGATGTACCTTTTTCGCGCAATGGTCAAAATCAAGGTTTTGTAACGCGAGCTGTGCCACAGTGAAATGGAACTAGCCCCAACGCCCCGGAGCGTCCGGGCGGAAGTGCATCGCCCACCGCTCACCCATGCAACTGTGTTCGGAACTCTCGGCCCGGAACAACTTGGCGGTGGCCGGTGGTCGCCTCGCCCCAACGACACGAGTCACGAGAGTCAGAGAAAGTGGAGACCACAGTTTCTGGTCGCAAGCGAAGTGTGGAAAAGTGACACCGTCTTAGCTGCCTCGAGGCACCGCCTATCTGTCTGTCTGTCTATGTTTAGTTGGCCAAGCAAGTACAAGTAAGTAAGTAAGCATATACACGAACGAACGAACGAGCTTTCTCTCTCTCTCACGATGCACCTCACACCAAATCGGGCGCGGCGCAGAGGTGGGGGGAGGTCGAAATGGGCGACCTGGCTAACACGATGCTGAATACCCAGTTCAAGACCGATCTCGGCTCGAGGCAGGAGAAGATCCTGACGGCGCTGTTGGGCAGGGTACCCCGCGGCTCGACTAGCACATTTCTTGTCGAAAACCGAAACTGCTCACGCTCGGCCATGTAACCGCATAGGTCGGCGCTGTTGGTGACAGCGAGCTCACCAACCGGCTGCCGCGGGAGCCTAATCCTCTCGGCATCGTTGACGCCAGCATTGCCGGCCGCCCTCCGGCGTTGCAGCTTCCGCAGCGCTCACGCGCGCAGGACCAAAAGCAGCGTGGCGGCAGCGGCACCGACTCCGGCTTGCCGGCGGAGTTTCATGGGCAGGTGGCTCAAAGCATCGTTTGGATGGGCGAGGAGGCGAGGCAGAGTGTGCTTGCTTCCGGCGGGCCGCACGTCGGCACTAGCAGCCTGGCTGAGAAGGCGACGGCAGCGGGGCGGGATGCTGAGGCACTGGCAATCGAGCGGCAAAAGTCCGAGACCGAGATGCTGAAAACCATCGCCGGCCTCCCAGAGAAGTTTGCGGCCGTGGCCGATCCCTTAGTGCACAAGATGCTGGGAGGCATTAGCAACGCTCTCGGCAAGCCGCGCGAGCCGACGCCCGTGGAGAAGGAGTACGAGGCTGCCCGGCTCGGCGCAGGGACGGTGGCGCCCAACAACTTTGCCCTCGCTTTTCCTATGCACGGCGGCGGCCTCGCCCCCCCTCCGTCCGGCTCTGCTCTCCCGCAGCCTCCCAGTCTTCAACGCGGAGCCGTCCGAGTCCCTGTTCGGGGTGGCAAGCAGCCGCGACGACGCGACGACGGTGAGTCAGCAAGCAGCTCTAGCTCCGAAGAAGAGGAGGGTGGGGAGGCCGACGCTTCGAAGGGCGCGGTCATTGCCGCCGCTCCAGCGGCGGCAGCTGGGTCCAGCTACAAGCGGGATCGCCCGTCCTCGGCTGCTTCCGAGGACAGTGGCGTAGAATCCTCGTATCTGGCCGCTACCTGCCCCAGCCTCGTCCCAGCTGAGCAGACCATCGGCAGCTACGTCGCGGCCAACTACTCGGGCACGGCGGTCAGCATCTCCAAGATCGACTGCCTCGCGCCGGCAGAGACACCCTTCGCTGAAGATGTCGCTGACTTCTGGGCTGGCTCCTTCAAGCCTTTAGATTCGGTGCACTGCCAGGATGGTGCCGATGCCGCTCTCGTCGCCGCGGCTCTCGACACGGAGTTCCAAGCCCTCGGCGTGCTGGCCTTTGCGCGCGGCGAGGGCGGCAAGACAGACCCTACGCAATGGGCGCCCATTCAGCACGGCGTGATGAAGCGAGCCGTTGCTGCACTTCCGGGGAGCCGGGAAGAGGAGCCGCCGGTCATGACCGAGATTCTCGGCACGACCCCGGGCGCCCCCCTCAGTGCGGAAACCGTCGACGCAGCGGTGGGCGACGCCCATGCTCTCTTGCTGGCTCAAAAGCTCGAAGACGGCAGGCCCTACTGGACTTGCCTTCGCAAGCTGGGTCCTGACGAGTGGTGGGACTGCAGCCCGCTGGGTTGCGGCACCCCCGACCAGCGCGACCAGGAGCGCAGCTCCGGGGAGGCTGTGCCTGCGGCCGCCGCAGCCGCGTCTGTCGCTCGCGCGAACTGACACTCTCCCGTCGCCATCGGACCAGAACAGGCCGTTTGTGCGCTGCAAAGCGCGACTGGATCGCACACGCACCGTGCAGCTTTGTCGGCCGGAGGTTAGGAGCATGTCAGGGATCCGGAGAGCGCCGGGTGGCGCCGCGCCAGGGGAATCGTGCGGACTAGAAGCGCGGAATAGAATCGTGTGTGTGTGCGTAAAACTAGATAACATTCCCATTTTCATTAATAGCGGCCTGTTTGTCACAACACGTGCCGCAAGACACGGCGCTTCTCATAAGAAGTCATTAGCTTGGACGCATCCCTCGACGCGAAGTGGCGAAAGAGCCATGCAGTCACCCGAATTGCTTGGACCTCTCCTGCAAGTAGAACGAATCATTCTTGGAGCTTCCCCCTCCATGCAGGATCGCATCTTATCCGTGGCGACGCGCTGTGCCACCGAGCCGTACTCAGCCGCGCCGCCGCGTCGAGGCACGGGTCCCCTACCAAGCAAGCAGCGACGCCGAAGCGTCGACCGATAGAGCGCCACGCCCAGCAGTATGGGCGTCGACCGCTCTCTCGAGCGGCCGCGTGGTGGTGCGTGGCGCGGACGTCACGGGCGGCAAGCGTGGAGCCGCTGGAAGAGCCGGTGCGAGCCGTGGACGGCAGCCGCTCCCCACGTCGCCGAGAGGGGCTGCCAGCCCCAGACCCCAGGCTGGGGCTCCGCCCCAGACCCCGAGTTAGGCGCTGTCGGCGGCCAGAGGCCGAGTTACGGCTGCAGGCAAAAGTCGCTCGCTGCCGTCTGAGCTCGAAAAAAATCGCGATTTAGGAGCATGTCAGGGATCCGGAGAGCGCTGGGTGGCGCCGCCGGCCAGGGGAATCGTGCGGACTAGAAGCGCGCTGGCTGCGGTTGGGGAAGTGGCACACGCGGGGCCGGTTTTTATAAGCTCATGTGATGAAAAAAAACGTATCGACAACCACGGTACTGCAGGGAGAGGTTGAGCAGAGATAAGACCTACGCTACATGCTACATGCGGGTGTGCGCGGAGAGAGAGAGATGCACATGAGTGTGTGTTGCTCAGCTAAGTTCGGCGCTCGGCTTGCCGAGGCGCGGCACGCGCCGGCCTCGCCCCGCGGGCAGCAGGGTGGTAGTGTCACGATTGAGGCGCACCCTGAGTGCGCGTGGCGTGCTTGCCGCCCGGCCGCACCGCGTCAAAGAGCATCACGTTGTCCGCCAGCGAGTCGCGCAGCGCTGACTTGTCCATCATGGCGGACCGCATCCAACGAGGTTGGCCGCTCGGCAACGCCCAGCGCCCCTTGCGGCAGCTCGGTGCCGCATTTGGAAGGCCGGGGGCATTCTTCATTGGGGCGAAGTTGCGCGTCAGCATCTCGCGCACGTCGTCAATCGACCGCTCGCCCCCCTCCTCCGCGGCGGTGCTGCGGAACAGCTGCTCGTCGCAGCGATCCTCCTCGCGTTCGGCGTTCCGGTAGCGCAGCATAAAGTTGGACAGCTTGAAGCATGCTGAGATGAGGTGCGGGAAGCAGTCAACTCCCATGCGGGAAGGGCGCCAAAACACGCCTGCGACGGCGGCCACAGAAGGGGGGATCATGATTACAGAGAGGGGGATCCCGGAGGGGAGAGGCAGCTTTTGACGCCGCGCCCCAGAGGCCGTAGTTGCGACCGAAGCACTGCTCCACGGGCATGCGCAGCGAGGACTTGAAGTGGTTGAAGTTTGCCTTGCCTGTGCATGCCAGGTGACGCATCCTCGGCGCGAGAGAGGGGCAGGGAGAGCGAGGGCGGCGCGCACGGTGGTCCGCAGACACAGAGCCAGGGTACGGCGTCACGCACGACTCGGACCCCTTGAAAGCCTCGTCGGCATTCAACCAGCAGCCCTGGGGCAGGCCGTTTTCCTCGATCCAGCACGCCAGCTCACACAGAGGCCAGCTTCCAGCGTCGCCTTGTCCGCCGGGCGACACGTACGCGCCGTAGAGAAGCTCCCTGCGCGGCACCACAGAGGGTGCGTCGCCGCCCGGGCGTAGGCGGCCCCTCCCTCCCCTTTGCGGTGCAGATCTTCTCTCGTGGCGACAGGCGACGCACTGGTCAGCGCCGGCGACCCCCAGCCACGTCAGGGCAAAGTACTTCTTGTAGCAAAAGTAGATCATGGCGTTGGCCACCTAATGCAGATGCCGTGCGGTGTGTGGGAGACCTCGCTCATGCAGGGTCGGAATAGTGTTGCGCGGCGAGGTGGTGCACCTTGTTGCGTGGCGGCGGCAGCTCTGACGAGACAGGCGGCTTGTGGATTGCTGGCAGCCATCCGTCGAGGGCACCGATGCACCCCGGCAACATCCCGCCACTCTTCTTGTCAAAGCCGGCCTGGATCTCTCTGAGCTCACGCGAGTCGCCGGCTTTCGCGCTCTTCAGCGCGCGAAGGAGCCGAAACTCCAGTTCGGGGCACGCGTGGATTGCGCCCACGACTGGCCAGACGCAGCAGCCCATGATGCTGCTCTTGCGCTCAACTCCATACCTGTCCAGATCCTCGACTGACGCTCCCGCAAGAAAGCGTAGGGCCACAGACAGCTTGGTCTCGACGCTGAGCGGCGGGGCGGCATGTCCGGCGCGCGCCCCGCCTCGACCACCTTCACGCGTAAGGTGCGGCCCGAGCAGCACGCACAGGTCCCGAAAGGCACTGCGTGACAGCCGGAACTTGCGCTGAAACCGCACGTCGTCGAGGTGAGCCACTGTGGCCCAGAAGCCGTGCTCGCGTACGGTCTGACTGATCAGGCCCAGGATAGGGCCTGACCGCCGCCGCTTCTGCTTCTTGTCTCTCTTGGCGATGATGCAGTGCAGGATGGCCAGCACCGCCGCCCGACGCTGCTTGCGCCCCGCATCTTGCCCGAAGAGTACTCGCCCCTCGCCAGTCAGACAGGTGGCTCCCACGTTCCCACCCGCCTGCAGGATGCTGGCGAGGAGCTCCTCACTGGTTTGGAAGGCGGGTCGGGCGGCGACGGCGATGCACGGCAGCAGGCCCGAGAGCATCGCGCCGCAATCAAATGGGGCGGTAGCGACGCGATGCGTCCGGTGAACTCGTCCGTCTGTCCGGCGACGGACCGAAATAGGCCCAGTCGGACGGCGGCAGATTTGGGCCGGACGCCGGACGTCGGACGACTTTTTCGTCCGACCGTCCGACTGGCTTCATGTCCGTCCGGCGAGTCACATATGGAAAACTGTGGAAAACCGAATGGCAGTACCGGCTCAAAGCTTTGTGCTGTGAATACTGTCTGTGCTTGCTTGTGCGTCTTGGGCAGGGGAGGGGTTTTGTGTGAATAGGGCGGAGAAGGCGGAGGCGAAGGCTCGGCAGAAGGAGCGCGTCGCTGCCATCGTCGCGGGCACGGACGCTGCGGGCGCGGGCGCGGGGGTGGAGGAGGCGCTCAATTGCTGGGAGGAGGGTGCGTACGAAGCGGAGACGCTGGAGACGCTCGCCGAGTTCGTGCGCCGCGATGAGTCTCACCTCGCTCCCTCGTGAGCTGCTCCAAAAGATCCTCGGCCATTTGCTGCGCAATCGGACGAGGTCTGATGAGCATAACGCTGAATCGTGGATCGATCTGCTTCATGCCTGCAGCTCCTGCAAGTCGTTCATCACAGACGCCGGGGACGGCTCGCTTCTCGAGGCTGTGTCTGAGGATATGCTGGCGAGGCTGCTGCCGTCGCCCTACTACCGCTCGGCGCAGCCGATCGCACGCAGTGCGTTCGGCGCCCTTTCCCGGTCCCTCAGTCCCTGCGACCTGTGCTACATGGGACCGACGGGCCGCGGCCAGCCGTGCAAGCGCAAATACGTGTCGTCCGCTCTGCGCGCCGTCGATCTCCACCTCAAGAGTGTGCTCACGGCTGCGAACGGCGCCTACCTGCTCCAGCACCGCTGGCTGCGCCACATGGGGATCGGCGCGCGGGAGTCTCGCCTCTTGAGGCTGCGCGCTGGGCGGCGAGAGGAGGCGATGCGGCTGCGGGTCCTCTCTGACCGGACGGCAGGGCTCGCAGGCCGGTGGTGGGTGAGCGTCGTCTGCCTCTCGTCCGAGATGTCGACGCACGATATGAGCGAGGTGCAACACGCAACACACGCACACGCGCGCGCGCGCGCACACACACACACACACACACACACACACACACACACACACACACGCACACACACACACACACACACACACACACGTGCTCGCCTCACGCCCTCTCCCTGCCCCACGCTCTCCCTCCGCCTGCCCTCCGCCCCTCCCCTCCGCCTTTTCGCTCCGCCGGGCGGTGGCGATGACTCTGCGGCTTGGCTTAGGCCTTCGCCGCCCTCTGCGAGAGCCACTTCATCCTTGCAGACTACCCGCAGCAGATGGCCATCCCCCTCCACCGCCCCCTCTCCTACGACCTCTCCTACGACCCGCCGCACTCCGACCCTCCCGAGGCGGCCACCCGACTCGGGGCCGCTGCCCGACTCGAGACTGCCGCGCCGCGAGAGGCGCGGCCGCGGGACCGAATCGTGTTTGAGACGGTGCGGGAGGGGAGCGGGGCGGGGAGCGACGAGGGGAGCGGGGAGGAGGGGGAAGGGGTCGGGGAGCGCTTCGCGACCACCTTTGTCTGGCTGCGGGCGGGCGCAGGCGGTGCCAGCGCTGGTGCGGGTGGGTCGGCAGGCCGGTGGGCCGCGTCGCCGAGGGGCGAGGGCGAGGGCGAGGTTGCGCGGGCGGTCTTGCGGTACGAGGGGCGGGGCGGCGTCGGCGGGCCTTGCATCAGCTCGCTCGAGCTGGCGGACGGCGTCGAGGCGGGCGAGGCGGAGGCGGTGGCGGCGGCGCTGCTCGCCGAGGTTGAGGGCTTTGCGGCGCATGTGTTCCCCGCCTTTGGGCTGCTCATCAGACAGACCTTGAGGAAGGTGCGAGGCCGGCGCGTGTCTGTGCGCGAGGTGTCGCGACCCTTGTTTCCCGAGGCAACCGACACCCCGGGGCACGAGGTCGGTGAGGTCTGAGGAGCGTGTGATGTGTGAGCGAAGCGTGTGTCTTCGCGAATCTGCGCGTTTGCGGCTCTGTGTGTGTGTGTCCCTCCGCTCCGCTCTCTTTGTCTCCCGCCGGGGGGCGGGGGCGGGCCGGGGCGCGGGGGCGGCGCGGCGGCGCCGGGGCGAGACGGGCCGCCCCGCGGAGGCCAGTCCATGCCGCAGTCGAGAGCCGGAGGCGAAAGGTAGAGAAAATCACGAGCCAATCTGCACAAGACTGTGGGGACAACACGATCTCCGCGAAATCCACTCTCGAGTCTCGTGTTCTCGCGTGGAGCAGCACAAGAGCATCTTCCATCTACAGAACTCAGAAGCGCAGTCACATCGTCATCGACCCCGCGGGGCGGGGGCTCGCGCTCTCTCTCGATGTCGATCACAATCATATAACCGGTGCGCTCAGCCACTCAACGCCCCGCCGCCCGTTCCCAGCCCACAACGCCCGTCACGACTCTCCCGAGGACGGCTCCGGCGGTGGCGGCGGCGGCGGCGCGCTGACTCCGGCGGCGCGGAGCGAGGCGACGTTGGCCGATACGCGGTTGGCCTGCGTGCGGCGCGGCAAGAGTGAGGGAGGCGGAGGGTGGCGGGGGAGGGGCGGCGGGTGCTGCGTCGCTCCTCGGCCGTCCGCTGGTACGATGCGAAGCGGTGCTGCGAGAGTTGCTCGGCCAGCATCTCCTGCCGCGTCTTGCCCTCGAAGACACGCTGCATCACGAGGTTGCGGTACTCGTACTTGGCCTCCTCCAGCACCGTCGCCGCGTCCTCCCCGTCCCGCGCCAGCGCCGCGTCGCGCCGCGCCTGCGCCTCCTCGGGGCTGACTCTGCCGGCGTCGCGCTTGCGCAGAGGCATCCACCGCAGCACGAGGGGGCTCGTGCGCAGCGTGCTCTCGAGCTCCGAGAGGGAGGCGGGCGAGCAGAAGAGGTCGAGCGTGAGGTAGTGCGCTCGGTAGTGGTTCACGCCTCGCTGCCGGATCCGGTACGCGAGATCGCGGATGCCCCACGAGCGCACCTCTGTGATCACCGCGCCGCGGCTCCAGAGCTTGGTCGCACAGTTGCGGAGCAGGCCGACCAGCTTCTCGCGCGAGCCCGCGGTATTGGCAGCCAGCACAACGACGTCATACGCAGGCATGGGCGTGGAGAGTGGTAAGCGCCCGAGCAAGCCGTGAGCGCCCCCCCCCGGGGGCCAGAAAGAAATACGGCAGGCAGCGACCGTTCGCGGCCCGCCCCCCCCCCGCAGGACGTTGGTCGCGCCCAAAGGGACGTTGGTCGCGCCCTCCCGAAAGCCCTCGACGATGCGCGCCACGGCGATCGTCGCGGTAGCCGCCGCCGCGCTCCTCGCACTCTTCGGGTGGCGTCGTCGTCCGCGTCTCGCGCGGCAGCAGCGCCCGCTCATCCCGCGTGCGGCCTTGCAGTGGGCTAAGGTTCGCGCTCGGCGCCACCTGCTCGTGCTGGCCAACCTGCGCGAGGTGGCTGGCACGCTGGGTGTCGACATCGGCGGCACGCTCGCAAAGATGGTCCTGCTCCGCCGTATTCGAGAGGGCGAGAAGCACGAGCGCGTCTCCTTCGGAGCGTGCTTCAACACGCAGCCCTCCCTCTCGTTCGATGTGTATGCGGATGACGGAACCTCGCTCACGCTGCACTTTGTCGCTGCGCCGACGCGCTCGCTGGCAGAGGCGGTCGAGACGCTCCGTAACTGCGACGGCCAGCCCGCCGCGCCGGCCGTGGAGTCAGGTCCGAGGCTGCAGCGGCGCGAGTCTGTGTACAGCTCGGTGAGGCACGTGGTCGCTGCGGGCGGTGGGGCGCACAAGTACGCCGCGCTGTTCGAGGAGGTGCTGCGCGTGCGGCTGGTCCCCTTCGCCGAGCTCGCCGCGCTGGTGGAGGGGCTCCACTTTCTGCGCGCCGTCGGCCCTGCGGACGAGCTGTACGCGCTGCCGGGGCCCAGCCCCGGAGGGGATGGCTCTGGCTCCGCCACAACCTCAGGGGGGGAGGGAGGCGCGAGCGAGGCGGCGGAGGAGCGGGTGGCTTGGGAGGAGGTCGACTTCCCGTACATCGTCGTCAACATTGGCTCCGGCGTCTCGGCGCCTATCTCCCTCGCCTCCTCCCTCGCCTCCCTCCCTCGCCTCCCTCCCTCGCCTCCCTCCCTCGCCCCTCTCCCTCGCCCCTTTCCCCACCTCCCATCACTCGGCCTTCTCTGCCCCGCGCGCCGGCAGGTGCTCCTCCTCGAGCGGGAGGACGTGAACAGCGTCTCTTCACACCTCTAGCTGTGAACAGGTGCTCCTCCTCGAGCGGGAAGGGTGTGAGTCTCCCGGCGAGGGGGGGGGCGTCGCAGCTGGCGGCGCAACCTTCCGCCGCGTCGGAGGGACGGCCTGCGGCGGAGCAACTTTCCTCGGCCTCGGGCGCGCCTTGACTGGCGTGGCCGACTACCACAAGCTGCTCGCCTTGGCCGAGGCGGGAGACGCGTCCCTCGTCGACACGACGGTGGGAGACATCTACGGCGAGAAGGGCTGCGCGGCCCTCGGCTTCCCGCCCTCGATGACCGCGGTCAACTTCGGCGCTCTCGCGCATGGCGGCGAAGCCCCGCTGCCGGCGAAACGGCATCTGGCGGCTGCCGTCCTGCAGCTCGTGGTGCAGGCGTCGGTGCTGCAAGCCATGGCCCACGCCACGCCGCGCGGGGCCGCGGACCGAGTCCTTTTCGTCGGCGGCTTCCTCTCGGACAACCAGCTCGCGAGGCGGCTCGTCGCAAACACAGCCCGCAAACTGGGCGGGCGGGCGCTCTTCTCGAGGCACGCGGACTTCCTCGGCGGGCTCGGCTCCCTCGCCGAGACGCTCCACCGGCGGGCCGAGGGGGTCTCGCAAAGCGCTAGGAGCGACCCACACAGATAGAGAAGTACCACCTTTGTTTTTTCTTTTTGTGCTGTGTGCCGGTGCCTTACAGACTTCGGCTCATCCTCAATGCCGTGCGCAAGCCCCACCCGACTGACGTGACCGGGACACAGGCGTGGGGCGCGTCGCCCGCTTCCGCGCTTGCTCTAGGTGAAACGTCTAAAGGACGAAAGAGGGGAATCGGCCCGACGGCGGGCGGAGAAGACGGGCACTGGACCAGAAAGGACTGGGAGAGTGTGAAAGGAGGGAGGGACACGCTGTGCCGGAGAACACGCGGTGGTTCGGACGTGGTTCGGAGGTTCGGACGTCACCCCCTTCGACGCAGTCGAGTAACTCCCGATCGACGAGAGGAAAGAGTAGAGAGCCTGTGGCTGCTCTTCTAAGCCACGAATGAAGTAGCGGACAGCGTTGCAGGGGCCGTCGGCGATACTGTGTCGATGCAGGCGACGGTGGAGAAGCTGGCAGCGCTGATGCCACCGATGTAGGTGACGACGAAAGAGCCGACGACGCTGTAGAGGCTACGGGCGAGGTCGTCGACACGAGCTTCGGCAGAGAGGCCGATGGTGCTATCGGCGCCACCGTCGCGTGGAGCGGCGGCAGAGAGGCCGAGGCCGATGGTGCTATCGGCGCCACCGTTGAGTGGAGCGGCGGCAGAGAGGCCGAGGGCGTCATCGGCGCCGTAGTGGAGTCGAGCGGCGGCAGCAACGGGGTCGTCAGCGCAACGGCCGCCGAAAGGAGCAACGGCGAGAGCGACGGCACCGCCGACAGCGGAGCCGTCGGCGAAGCAGCCGACAGCGAGGCCGTCGGCGAGGCCGTCTAGTCGCGCGACGGCGACAGAGCCGTCGGCAAGTCGAGCGACGGCGAGACGGCCGACAGCGGAGCTATCAATGCTAGGGGAGGAAGCAGATCTTCTTCCATTGCGTCCCGTTGGCACGTTCGTAGTGGCCTTTGATCGGGAAGGTAGGTCGTTGTCGTACGAATCGGGCGAGTGCGGCAGACCAATGCAGTTCCGGTACGGTGCACCTCCTTCTACCATCGTTCGGTTGACGAGGCGGGTCAGCTTTGATGGTGGCGCAAGTGCTGAGGCCAGGCAAAGCGCAATGGACGCCAAGTCGCCGACCCGTTGGAAGGCACGTCGAGGTCGAGGATGGGCGGCCGGGCGATGTTCTCCATATCCAAAGTTTAGGAGGAAACCACCGTGTGACGCGGGTGATGAGGTTCGCTAAGTACACGCACCCATACTCGTTTCGGAGGCAAATCCAAGGGCCCACGCGGACGTGTCCTGTTCGTCCATGCACCAGCAGCACGCTGTCGATGGCATCGACGTACTTGTGCGAACCACCCAGTGTTGACTGGCACACCGATGTTTGCCTTGACAGGGAGAGACGGCGGCGGCGCACCGATGTAGATTGGTTGTAAAAAGTCGCCTTGGTCGTAGATGAAGCTGGGGCTTGACCCTTCAGGGGCGAACAAGCTGGCGCCACCCGTCTCTGTGTCGTAGTAGCAGAAAGAAGCGGTCACGCGAATCCACTGACTGCGAGCACCCATGCATGGGCAATCAGGCCGAGGAAAAGCCGGCTCGGTAAGGGTGCCGCTCAGCTGCGCACACATGGGCTTCCGCCAGCTGACGCTCCATCAGCAGCTCCATGTTACCGCCCGACGAAGAGAGAAAGCTATAAGAGGGCTCCCGCGGCGATCAACACCGCAACTCCTTGTTTCGTGCGTCGGCTTGGTCACCACACCATTGACACAGCATCGCGCATGGCACCATCACGCCGTGCTCATTTGCGCGGCGATCGACGAGTTCGGGGTGCAGGTGGTAGAGCGTGCTGTCGTCCGACTCCCAGCAACTGATGACGCGCGAGATGTCGGTGTCGCGGAATTCGTGCGTACCGTCGCCGTTGGGACGGTCGTTGCTCGCGCCGTTGGGAAACGCAAGGCGCACCTTTTTGTTTTGAAGACCTCGATACTTAGCGCACTGCTCGGGCGAGAGCTCAAACACGTGCCGCGTCTCGTCTTCGCCGCCGGCTACGCGCACAGACACAGTACGCGGCAGCGCCGACACGTCAACCCGCGTGTACGTCAGCGACGGGTCGCGCACGCCGCACGAGGCGCATGCGTGCAGCGGCAGCGCGTGCGCCATGCGCTCGTCGCTCCACTCGCCCAGCAGCCGCCGCTTCGTCTCGTCGGAGACGTGCACGCAGCGCTGCAGCAGCGCCGCCGTCTCGTCCTCGGGCCGCTCCAGGTCCATGACGACGTTCGTCGAGGCGTGGAAGCGCGTCTCCAGGTCGATGGCCGCCTGCTCGGCCGCGGCGAGCTTGCCCTGGTCGACGCACATGCCGCACACCGCGTGCGCCGGGCAGCCGCACTGGCCGCGTTGTGGGCGCACGGTCTTGGCGACCGCCGGCGCTGCGCGCCGGTCGTGCTGCTCACGCTGCCGGCGGCGCTGGTCGCGCGCCTGCCGATCGCGCGTGTTCGCGGCGGCTGCATCTCCTGCTCGTTTCGCTCGCACCCGAGCGGCGGTCGCCAGGCGCTTCAGGTCGGCGGTGCTGCGCGCGCGGCCGTCGGCTCTGCACAGCCACATGTCCTCCTCCTCGGCAGGCTCGCACGGCTTGCCGTCGAACTGCGGCGGGAACCCGCGACGACGCTTCGCCCAGGCCGGGCACGATGGTGCCGCGACGAGCGGCGTCGAGGCGACGGCCATCGATGGGTCCAGAAGACTTGGAGACACTTCTAAACCAAAATCAAAAAAAGCGAGCACAAGTGCGTTACATGGGCATGGCCGGCGTTTCTGCACCGAACGATCTTACTTTCGGTCTATCGAAAGTGTTGATCTATAAAAGTAGAAAAACCCGCGCAGACAGAACGTCGGCTCGCGAGGTGGGGTGCTAGTATGAGCCCGATACGTCGTAGAGTTCTTGCGCTTCGGCGGTTAGTGGTGCACTAACCTCCGAGAAACCCTTCGGGTCGCTCCTCATCGCAAACCCTGTCAGCAGAGTCCTCCTACGGGAATGTGCGTAAGAGCTACATACACTGAGAGAGAGAGACGCTTCGGTGAAGGGGGTGAACCGTGCCATCCTCGATCGCCGTGCAAAGCTCGCTTCCGAGCTCTCACGCACGCCGCGCGTAGGGCCCTTAGGGGCCTAGAGAACACAACCCCCTCTCTCTTTTCTCCCAGTAAGCTAAAAGTGCGTACACTGAGAGAGAGAGAAATATATATAGACTTGAGAGAGAAAATCGCATCTGTCATCGCCAATGTTTTGCCAGTTTTGGCGACGCCGTCGGCCGGGGACCTTTCCAGCCATGCTACCCCTATCAACCGCGCCCTTTAGCCAGTGCGGCACGGCGGCAAAAGTCTTCCGCGACCCTCACATAAACTTTGCGTATGGAGGCTCCGCCGACCTACGCGGCCGCCACAACGCACTCTACAACTTCCTGTCTGCACCTGGCCTGTCGGTCAACGTCAAGACGGAGGACGCCGTGTTCAAATTGCATGGCGGGGACCTCACAGTCAATGGCTCCTTCCTCACAGAAGCCCACGTCACCGCGCAGCTCTCCTCGCAGAAGTTCGCCACCGCGTCATTCTGGGCGTCCGAACTTGACCCGAACAACTTTGGCTGGAGCGTGGTCAACGGGACCTGCGTCGGCCGTCCATTCCGCTTCGGTTTCCACGGCCACAAGAAGTGCTTTGGTCTCGAAATGACGATGGACCACTCGAGCGCCACATTTAAGCTCGGAAACTGGACCGTCACGGTGCATGGCATGCGCTCCGTCCCACGCGCAGAGGACTACATCGCAGGCCCCGACCACCGTCTGGACATTGGCTTCACAGCGAGAGGCGACGCGCCGGCCCGCGACATGCCGCACGGCATCATTGGGCAGTCCTATGCCACGCCAGGGCTCGAGCGGCACGGCAAGAAAGACATCTACCCTTTTTCAGGCTCCTACACCACCAGCGCCCAAGCCGAGGGCGCCATTGAGGGCACGGTCTCGGATTACGAGGCGGCGAGCACCCACGCGACCGATTTCGCTTTTTCGCGCTTCAGTGCAGCAAAGGAAGGGTCTGTGGAGGGTGCGATCGCTGACAGAGAAATCGACGCGTCGTCAATCGATCGCGTCGCCGATCCCGCCACCGAGCTGGAGCGCCGACGCCTCTCTGAGGCGCCCTGCCCTCCACCTGACCCTCCGCACCCGCCTCGCCTTCCGCCCGCGTCACCGCCGCGGGCGGCTGCGCAGTGCGTGGCTTATGAATCTTTCAACGAGTGCAGCATCAAATCGATGACAGACCCACTTTCCCGCACAACAACCTGGCTGAACATCACGGAGCTTTGCATCAAGATGACACGCTCCAGCCAAAACGTGGGTGCCAGCGCCGAGCCTGGCCCGAGACAGGGAGGGCAGTACTCCGACGGCGTGGAAGGCTGGAAAGGGGGCAGCTTCAGCCCTCTAAACACAGGCCAATGGGTCCCGGAAGGAGAGACCATCTACACCGACCCTCCTCCTTTCCATAATGGAGGCTGCTGTGGAATAGTCCACATCGGCATGTCCGATAGGTCGAGCTCCAAGACGATGGACTGCAGAAACCACTTGGGAGTCCAATACGACTGCACAAACTGCAAAGGGGTGAAGCTCCTCGCCCCCGAATCCATGGATTACGACACCTTCCGGTATAGCTCGAGCAACGGCCGGGTGACAGCCACAAAGTACGGAAGCTCAGGCCGCAATTACTGGGGCGGCAACATCTTCGTACACTGCGATGGCGATCCCGGCCCATGCGCTGAGCCACCACCCGTCTGCGAGGGGCAAACGAAATTCTGGGACACGGACCAGAACTTTGGCGTAGGTCTGAAGAATGCCTATGACTGCTACGGCCGCTGGTCTGCGGACGGAAAATCATGCTGGATCGACAAGAAGCCGGAGACCAGCGGCATGAGCGGCCTGAGGTACTACAATGGTGGTTGGTATCGTCTCGGTGAAGATGCTAACGGCGATAACAAGTGCGACTGAGCGCTCCATCCCCGCGCACTGTTCCGCTCTAACGCGCGGGAGAGTGCCCCTTAACAGCAGATGCCGGGACTGTGTTTGTGATGCCTAAGGAGTTGTGGCAGCGCTTCCTTTCCCGCTCCGGGTAGAAGACTTCCATTAGCAGGCTGGCGTTGAGATGTCCACTGGGCACACGGCTCGCCCACTCCTGCAATGCTCGGCGTGTCGCGAACCACTGCGCCAGCTTGGGCGTCGGCAGCTCCACGCTCTGCGAGATGGACTCCAGCTGCCACACGTTTGGCGTCGGGCAGAGCTTGAACGCCGCCGCGAGCCGCTTGAGGGTTTCGATGCTCGCGCCGCTCGCCAGGCGGTACGCGCCACGTTCAGGCTCGGGCGGGTCCCACTCAGGAGGCGTCATCCTGCGTCCTTCCGCCCCGCCCGTCGCGCGGCTGTCGTCCTCGCGTAACTTCCGCTTCTGCGCGGTTCTCGACCCCCCGCCCGGCGATGGGCACTCCTCGGACAAGCCGGCCGGGGCCGAGGCAGACGCGAGCGCCATGAGGGAGACAATCGCTGCGTCATCGGCGGGCTGTGTTTGGCTCACCTTGCGGAGCAACGCGTGCGAGGGGGTAGACTGGGTAGATTGGCCCACCTCGCTGGTCTCACCAGGTTGCAGGGCCCTACCATCCTCGCGGATCGACTCGTCCACTGAACGCGACACGTCGCCGACGTCGCGGGATCTTCCAGGAAGCTTAAGGCTCTCTGGCACCGCGGTGCTCGCATGCGATGCTGAGGAGTCAGTGCGTCTAGCGGAGCGTACGCGCTCTTGGCCGGCCGCAGAGCCCCGCTTCATCGAGAGTTCACGACGCGAATGGACGGCCGTAATAATTGGGCATCATGAATCGCCAGTACGTCGGCGACTCCCCCTTCACATCTCGAGGTCACATCTCGAGGTAGCCTGGTGTGGCAAACGGTGAACGAGCTACGAGTGTAGGGTGTAGGGTTGTTGTTGGCAAATCAAGACACAGAGCTCACACAGAATCACAGCGGGAGGAAAGCGGCGAGTCGCAATTCCTGCAATCTGGGGTCTCTCGACCGAGTCTATGAGCCCTGGCCGCCTCCCGGTGGTGGCAAGGTTAAGCAACCAAGCGACGGAGATGGTGCGGGGGTACGGGTGTTCCAGGGGCGGGGTCACGACACGCACCGACCCTTCACGAACCGAAAGGCTGTGCCCGGCCCGTGAAGCAGAGCGCCGCCTCGGTGAGCTTGCCATCGGCGGAGAAGTCACCATTCGATAGCTTCTGCCCGTAGGTCGCCGCTGCCTGCCGGACACAGGTTTGGAAGGCGCACCGCTCCTCACGGTAGGACGCGAGGCGCTCGGCGGTGGCCATGTACCGCTCCCCTGCAGATCAGAGGCGAGCCTGGCGATGACTCCAACATCGTTGGGCATGAGCAAGGAAGACATATTGCCCGGCCGTTCAGGAAGTCCGTCTCGATTTTGGTTTTTTCCCACAGACCACTCGGGCAACTTTTACGAAAGGCAAAGTTTTGCTTGACCACTCGGGCAGATTCGATTGCATTTTACCACTCGGGCAAACTCGATGAAACGGACGGAAAACGCGTTTGCGACGGCTCGCCGGAGAGCTATGTATGGAGCGGCCGGTGCGCCGCCGCAGCTCACCGATGGAGCCTGCGTCGCGGCTCAATCCACTGACGCAGCAGCACTGCGACACACTCTCCAAGCATGGCCTCTGGCGTTGCGATTGCACAGAGAGCGAGCAATAGGCGCCAAAAGCACAGATCTGTGTGCAGTGGATCTCCATGTCGGTCGCGCCCAGCGAGAGGATAACCGCGGGCATCGGATGCTCGCCCGGACGCGAGCCCACCGTGCGAGTTGCGGACCCGGAGGCGGCCGGCCCAGCTCAGCCCCAGAGAGCCATGCCCAGGGTCAGGCATAAAAGGAAGTGTTTTCCGTCTCCGTCCGAGAGCCAAAACCTCTGTCTGGGTTAGTTTGCGCGACATTCCCGGGGGCTATCACTCGCTGAAGCTGAACCCGTTCAACGAGGCTGCTTGGGCCATATTTGCGCACGCGGGGCCTGAGTGAAGCGAGCGACGGCAACTGCAATGTCCAATGATCCATCCGTCCGGCCTCCCTGACTGACCTGACAGGTGTTTGTTTGTCTGACTGACTGACTGATGCATTTTGGACTTTTATTGAATAGCCCCTCTGGGTTTGCGCAACATTTCTCCGGTGGCCTATGCCATTCAACGAGGCTGCCTGGGAATCTCAGCGCGAGGCTGTGATGCTCAAAAAAGAGAAAACGGAGCGGCCTTAACGAGGCAATGCAGAACGCGTCCGCGTCGCTTTCGCAGCAGCGTCTCGAGTGGCTGACGCGGCTGAGCACGCCGCGTGGGCGGAGCGCTAAGGCGCTGAGCACTGCTGAGTGGGATGCGGCCGAGGGCCTTGCGCGTGTTCTGCGTGGGAAGGGCAACCTCTCGGCGCTCGGCCTGTTTCGGTCAGGCCAGCAATGGCTGCGCGTCGAGGAGGTTATGTGCCTGGTTGACGAGGGATCGCTGCTGCTACTGCGCGACGGCCAGCCGCTCTCTGTGCACGCGGCGCGTGTGATGCTGCTTGGCCCGCAGCCGGGCACCGCGTTCGAAGGCGCTGCGGCGGCGAAGCGCGAGCTCAGCATCAGCACCTTCGCTGCCCTCCACCGCAGCGGCTACGTGTGCCGGCCACCGGCGCCGCTCGCGGACGACGACGCCTATCGCCGCGCCGGCTCGCCGACACTATTTGCCGTCTATGAGCGCCGTGGCTTTAGCCGGCGCGCCGCCGAGGCGGGCGCGCCACCCACCTTTCTCGTGGCATGCTTTCATGCGAGCGAGCCTATGCCACCCACGGACGCGCTCAGCGCGCTCGCACGCGCGGTGGCGCCTGCCGCGCTCCGGTGCGCGTGCGCTCAGCAAGGAGAGGCGCTCTTCTTCGATGTGGTGTCTGGCTGCGGGTGAAACCTCGTGTCCCACCTGCACCACGACCAGTTCAGAGTGTGTGTCTCCTCCAACAGCCCGAGAGAGACGCGCCTACGGGGTGCGGAGGATTAGTTGACTGGGGGTTGTGCGCCGGGCCCTCCTGCTCGGCTCCAGCGAGTAGACAAGTGTTACCATTTTAAAGGAATCGCACTCTTTTGAAAAAAAGGACAGGCTAGTGCCATTTCACTGTGGCACAGCTCGCGTTACAAAACCTTGATTTGACCACATTGCGCGAAAAATGTACCTCTCGGTGCCTTCCAGACGCAGCTGCGACCCCGCCGAGTAGACGGCGGCACACAGCAGGTGGCGCGGTGTGCCGCCGTCCACTCGGCGGGATCGCAGCTGCCTCTGCGCGTCCTGGGGAGGTACATTTGTTGCGCGCCGGAGACGAGACTCGACGCCGCTGAGATCGGATATCAAGCTCTGACAGGTCGCACGTCGCTCCTTTGACGCCGACGTGACTCACCCGTGCAGAGCGCATCAGGACACGGTCTCGACGCGCTCGGTACGACGCCTGCGACCCGTCTCGGGTCAGGTGGCACGACGCTCATCGCGCCTACCAGCGCTGCCATACAGGTTGCCACGACGAGGTCGAGCACGCTTCTATACGCTCGCCGAGCCTTCCTTTCCATCCCATTAGGCAGCCTGGGAACGGTGGCGGTCAGAGGCAAAGCCTAAGAGGGGTGGTGGAACCACATGTCACGGCTACTGCCGGCTCGACGCCACGATAGCCTCCGAAGGCTGACTTTGCGGCACCATCATCGGACGATGTCGACGAGTTGGGTCGCTCTCGCGGTAGCCAGATGACCTCTCTTCCTATGAGCATCGGCCATGGCCGCAGGGAGCGCGGGGGAGGGCGCTGGAAGCAACACGGAGCTCCGTTGGAGACGTTTTCAAGATTAGCGTGTCAGAGTGAAATGGCACTAGCCACAGGGGCTGCGAGCAAGGAAGCCCTGAGCCTAAAAGAAAGACAGAAAACATATTGCAAGCCACGTGTCATTTCCCGCCAAGATTTGCGAAAACAGAGAGGAAGGATCTCTGTACTCTGGCCTCTCTCAGCACTGACACTCACACAGCCTGTCACACGGTACACAGAGGGCCGATTCGCGAGCGAGATTGTGGAGAATATCGTGTGCGCACACAAAAGTCAAAACGCGGCGCTGGTAGCGTGGACCTCACATCCATGATCTCACAGTGTGCCGGCAGTCGCCGAGCAGTGTCGCTCGCACAGCACAAGTGACGCTGGAGGGACAGACAGCGAGGGCGCGAGAGCCCATCTCCGCCATCTCGCTGTCATAGCTTGTGGCAGCCGCACAGTAGGCTCTGTGCCATCTGTCGGCCCCAGAGCGAGTGTATAAGACTTTGTATAAGCACAGCGAGCAGAGAGAGGAGCTGCACTCCAGGCTTCGGGAAGAGATGCATGCCACCGCCGCACCGGCGCTGTCCGTGTGTGTCGATCTCGAGGTTCGCCGAGCGCGGGCGCAGATTGGAGGATCCACCGTCACACCGACGAGTTCGTTGGACTTTTCACTCCGGACAAACCCGGTAACCACTGCACAGCGGGGACGGTAAAGGGTAATAACTAATTTTCGATCGGTAACGTACCGGGGCCGTGCGGGCGGTCGAGACTAGTGTCTGACTTATTGTCTGACTAGCCGAGGCCAACACGCAACACCAACCAACGAGTCACTGCCCGACCGAGCTGTGACGCACGGGCGGGGGTGAGCCGCGCCGCCCGCGGTACCGAAGCGGGGTCACATCGCCCGTGTCCGGTTATCCTATCCTGATCCGCGCGTATATCTCATCTCCCGACAGTCCCCCTCTCACGTCTCGGGTGGTCGTCTTCGAGACTCCGATCGCGAGACTCACACGCGTCCCTGCCCCGCTAGTGTGGGAAGCACGCAGCAACGCTCTCCCAGACGCCCCCTTCCGCCCCGCCCTCTGCCTCAGCTCTCTCCCACCTCCCTCGCCCCCCCTTTCAGAGTCGCTCTACAAGAGCGCCGACCCCAAGCCGAACCACGAGTCGAGCCACCGAGCAGTAGCCCCCATGGTCGCGCGGTGAAGAAGCCGAGGGTGAGCCCCCGCCTGCCTGGCAGCGGCCTGGGCGCCTCTCCTCCCCTCGACTCCTCCCCTCAGTGGGCACCTCAGTGGGTCGACTCAGTGGGCAGCGCTCGAGTTTGCGCCGTACGCGCAAGCCGCGCCCTCGTGCGACCCCTCGCCTCCGATCGCGATGCCTATGGGTGTCGCTTCTTCTTGAAGCGTCGCTAACAACCAACTACCTCGCCTCCGGACGCGACGCCTGCAGACTTGACTGCCATCGCCGCCATGAAGCCCATCAGCGTCGCGAGCCCGACCACGTCCCCTCCGAGCTCGCACGCCTAATTAATTGATTGATTGATTAATTAATTAATGAAGCCCGACCACGTCCCCTCCGAGCTCGCACGCCTAATTAATTGATTAATTGATTAATTAATTAATTAAGCCCGACCACGTCCCCTCCGGGCTCGCACGCCTCGGGCAGGAGCGTGTTCGACACCTGGCAGCATTACAGAGGGGGGCGGGGCGGCGGCTGGCTCAGCGGAGGGCGTGGCGTGGAGGCAGTGCGGGTCCGCGGTGCGGGCGCCCCTCGCCACCAATACCAATGCAAAGGCTGCAGCGGGCCCCCCTTCTCGCCACCAAAGGCTGCAGCGGGCGCACCCCTCTCTCGGCTGCGCGTCTCGGGCTCTCGGCTGCGAGTCTAGGCCGCGCGCCATGGCGATTGTCGCGCCGCCGCACAAGCCGACGATGGTGGCGAAGCCGTACGCGGCGGCCAGCTCCTCAGCCTCGTTGGTGGGGGGTGCGAAGGCTGCCGAGCCGACGATTGCTCCGGCGCC